ATTTTTTTTTTTTTTTTTTTTTTTTTCTCTCTCTTTATATTTACAATCTGTTTTTAAACAATAAGTAAATTGTATAATTAATATTCAATTAACAGAAATAGCAGTTTTCCAATGAGCCCTGCTATTATATATAACATCTTTTTAGTTTGTTAAATTTATCTATCAGGGATATCGAGAATGTGGTATCTTTTCAGTCTTCTTACTGTTAGGCTATTGTCTAATAGACTTAAGGCTAAATTATTTTCGTGGTTGTGGAGTCTGTCGATGTATTTCTTACTAGTTTTCTTTATTTCTTCTTTAATGGTTGGAATATTCAGATCTTTGTGGATGTTTGCATTAGATACGTAAAACGGAGCATTGACAATTTGTCGCAAAGTTTTTGATTGGTAACGCTGAAGTATTTCAATATTTGAGTTGCTAGCAGTTCCCCAAAGCTGTATAGCGTAGGTCCAAACACCCTTTCAAGATGAGGTTCAGTTTTTGTGTTGCTTTGCTTTTGTATTGTGTCTCCAGTTGCCACGAGCATCGACGTTTTTGTCAATTGTTTACATTTTCCTTTTTGGGCGCGCAGCGAGAGACTGTTTAATATGCAAAGCATTTTGTATTGACCAGGCCAAAAAGCTGTTGACCGCCGCGAATGGCCTTACCTTACCTTAGACATAATCGTCTACATAAGGCATTGAAATTATCATTTTCATTTATGTGCTGGAGAGCTGGCCCAAAGGGGAACGATTCTTGGGGGTTTATCTGAAGTCCGAAACACTCTTTCCCTGGAGGATTTATTGTCAAGTGTTAATTGGGCTTCCCCCTCTGCGTGGAATGTTCAGCCTGTTTGCTTTCCGCCTTGCAATTGGCCAAATAATCGCCCATCAAAATGTCATGTTTACACACTTTTTAGCCAACAATTTCCTCAGTTAAATATCACAAAAAATGTGTACGATTATGGCCCCAAAAAGACGTTTGCGTAATCAACAATTTTTAGCTCTTTAGCTTTTTATTTGCATTGCCACCAATACTTGTCTCTGTGCAGATATCTATGTGTGTCTGTTTCGTTTCGTTTCGTATATAATATAATAATATTTTGCTTAAAAAACCTTTTTGCAATGCCAAAGGAAAATAAGTTATTTTTTGTTATTCTAACCGCGTGCGAGAGCGACAAATGTGACAGCTAGAAAATATAAATAAGAGTACGGGCCCAAGCCCATTCCATCTGCCCCTTTATGCCACACAGAAGGCATCAAATAGAGGCAGATGGCAGCTAACGAAGCTACCAAAAAAAAGCCCGGCAAAAGCGGCTTAAAAAACCATTTGGTGATAAAATAAAAAGCGAAATAAAGAAATAGTTCGAGTATGTAGACCCCACATTGTCGTTTGTGTGTGTCGCTGTCGTCTCACTTTATGTAATCGCTCATTATAATTGGCATTTCTGTGGCTCTATGTGTGAGTGTGTGTGTGTGTGTGTGCCAAAAACGTGCCCCGCCTGCCCCAGCGGTGGCTGTGGGAGGGTTAACAATTGTCAGGTGTGAAGAGCTGGGAACTGTGGGCAAGACAGACAATATGTATTGTGGCTTTGTGCCATATTCCGCATCCATCCAGCCATCATCCATCGATCGTCGTTGAGCGATAAGCCCAAGTCGCATTCAAAGCGTATCACGCATACGCCATGTTGTCGGCGCCCCACCATGCGAGTGATGTCTTGCGCAAAATATTACTTGGCTTTCCCTGTGCCTTTTTTCTGTGCTAAAAGTGCAATGAAATGTGTGCTGAAATGAAGCTTAGGGAATGCGTAATAACCAATATAAAAATAGCAAAAAGAAAGGCGGAAAAGTGTCAGAAATTTAAGACTTAATTTGAACATTGAAGATAAGATAAATAAATTGGGGAGTTAGGGGGGAAACTCCCTCTTGAAACTCAACTGCAATGTGCCAACAGCTTCGCGCTGTTCTTTTAGCAATCTGTTCTAGAAATTGCTACTCCTACCCCTCGCTGTTGCCACCATTTAAACTAATCGATAAGCCGAAACAGAACCACTTTGCATGCAAGACCATCTTGCCATTCAGATGAACCAGAATCTTCAACAGCTTTCTCTTCTCTTTGTCGTTCCAGGCACGGGGCCAGCAGCAGCAGCTGCATCATCGGCTTTGTGCCGTTTGCTGGCAACCAAGTAGCTGGTAGACCGCAGCAGAACGTCACCACAGATGTGGTCCCCAGCCATGGCCATGGCCATGTCACCTGTGCGGGATCGCTGCGATCTCAATGGGAATGCAACGAGTGCCGCGAGTGCCGCGAGTGCCGCGAGTGCGGGTGCCACAAGTTCGCCGCGTAAGACAAAAAAGACAATTATCAATTGGCTGGTGAACGGATCGCGAGCAGCCGCCAGTGCCAGTGCCAGTGGCAGTGCCACCGATAGCGACAATAACAATCGCCAATCAGTGCGCGATAACCCCACACTAGACGATAATCAAAATCCGAATCAAAACCAAAGCTCCAATTGCGAGTCGCGGGCGTTTCGCGATTTCCGTGGTGTCCAAACACTTCGTTTGCTGTGGAGCAAACGCATCAAAAGCGCCAGCGAGGATCAAACGGTTGCATCAACGTCATCGTCGTCGCGCGCCTCCTCGCTGGGCACCCTGCGCAAGCTGAACAAATCCGTCAGTTGTCTGGTGAACGCGTTCAACAATCCCTCGCCGGAAAAGTCGCTGGCAAAACGCGCCGCCAGTCTGCACAATCTGCAGGACGCCGCGTTGCAGCAGCAGCAGTTGCAGCGCGAAAAGGACAATTTCTACAAGTACAAGAACGCGGAGCAGGCGCGAATGCGTGGCAAGCTGCGACGCAGCAGTGACGAGCCAACGGTTATAAACGCACACAAAAACGCGAGTGCCTACGCGACTAAAAACGCGAGTGCGACTTTAGTCGCGAGCAAATGTGACGACAGCATGCCGCCGCTTCCACCTGCCAGCATTGAGTGCAATATGGAATCGCCAGTTCCGCGGCGATTACCAGATAACGTTATCTCCGACATGGAAGTGGGTGGTAAACAGGCGGACGAGGAGGAGCCGGAGGAGGAGGTGGAGCTCCGGGCGACGCCTGCCCGATCGCGAGCCCGTGCCCGAGTCCGCGTCAGTCACAGCGCGGCCAGCGCCCAGAGTGGCGGCAGCAGCGAATCGGAGCATACAACTTCCACGCAAACATCGTCCACTGTGACGTCAACGGCGACGCGAGCGGTGACCAAGCGGAAATACAGCTTCAAGACGCACGCAGGCAGATCCTACGTGCAGCACCACACGCCGAGAAGGATAAGCAGCAGCTGCAGCAACGGCGGAGGAGGAGGAGGAGGCATGGGGCAGGCCACTGATGTCCCTACTGGCAGCAGCAGCAGCAGCAGCACCAACAGCCTGGTGGCCAAGCTGACGCAACAGTTCAACGAAATCATCCAGAAGGATGCCCGCGTGCTGGAGCAGGTGAAGCGCAAGAAGGGCGTCTGGCTGGCACGCGGCAGTCATGTCTACAAGATTGTGGAGAAGCAGCCAGCCACGATGCAGCCACCCCCAGAGAGTGGCATCTCCACGGTGCAGCGGAACATCAAGAAGTTCGAGACGCTGGAGAAGCCATCGGTGCCGCAGAAGAGCGAGCAGCTGCGGCATCTGGTGGCAGCCACAGACACTGCCAGGAGCAACAACCTCACGCTCAAGACAAAGCGAAGTCTAAAGGGGAGTCCCGCAGAGCTGGAGGTGGTCTGCGAGGAGGCCAAGACGCCCGTGGAGCTAGAGCCACCAACAGAGGAGAAGGCAACCAAAGAAGAGCAACCGACAGCTGAGCAGCAGCCGCCCATGGAGATGGAGGAGGATGATCTGAAGCCCGAACTGGAGCTGGATGAGGAGCGGCAGAAGCAGCGCAAGCACAAGTATGCCTCCATCTACGAGAAGCTGCGCTTCACCTTCGCTGGCAGAAGCCGCAAGTCGGCCAGTCCCTCGCCCACAAAAGCAGCAGCACCCGAGATGGCGCTACAAATGGTCACAGAAATGGCGCCAGAAGAGATGGAAACCAAGCAGGAAGAGGAGTCAAAGCCAGAGCAGGAGCAGCAGACAGGTGCCAACTCGCCGCTGATGCTGGGGCAATGCATTGAGGCGGATGCCGACTCCAAGATTCTCGACGCATTGGAGGTGCTCGATCAGAAGATCAAGGGTATCAGCGCCCACTCGGAGGCGGGTGAGCTGCTGCTGGGCACCAACGATGACTTCGAGCAGCGGCTGCTGCCCAACACCTCGTTCGTGTATCAGGCGGCCAACAAGCAGATCTCCAACAACCAGCTGCTGGTCAATCAGGCGGTGAATGTGACGCTGGTGAATGCGATCGAGGGCGAGCAGATGATCATGGAGCAGAAGCAGTTAATGAAGGCAGAAAATGAAAAGAAGAAAGAGGAGCAGAAGGAGGAGCAAGTGTCAGTCAGGGAAGAACGACAGGAGATCCCCTCAGAGGAGGAGCCCGAATCCATTTACGAACCCATCACACCCTCTGCCTTGCCTGCCATCGAAGCCAAGACTGAAGCGCAGGCCTCGAGCCTGTTCAAGATTGTGGATATCCAAAAGTCGGAGATCATCGAGGACATCTACCAGACCGTGGAGGAGGCATCCGCATCCGCATCCGCATCCGCATCCGCCTCAGCTGCCTGCGTCAAGCCCAACATTTGGCTGGAGGGCTACGAGTCCATAGAGGGCTCCTGCGAGGCAACGCCACCAGATTTCGATGGTTACGAGTCCTTTGCACCGCCCACACCCACACCCACATCAAACCCTGAGGACACACTGCCCTTGTCCACACCATCTCCTGGAACTCATGGCGGCACACTGGGCAGGAATACACGCGATGAGCTGCCAGAGCTGCCGAAACCAAAGCGAGTGCTGCCAAAGTCTCCAACGCTGCTGCGACCAGCGCCACCGAAGCCAGACCTGACCAAGGATGAGGATGAGGATGAGAACATCTACGACACCATCAAGGGCTGCTACGAGTCGATGCACACCAAAGTACCAGCCAGCAGCGGCAGCGGCACCATCTCCCTGGGTTCCAACTGCTACGAGAGCATCTCCCACTACCGCAAGACAAAGACAACGCCAACAGCGACGGGTACCTGCATCCAGCTCTCCAGCAGCGGCTCCACCCTGACCATCTCCTCGGACCACAAGACCAACAGCCTGTACGAATCCTCATTGGCCGCCACCGGTTGTGTGATGTACGGCAGTGCCAGTGTCGGCTGCCGCTCCTCCCTGGGCAGCGGCGGCAGTGCATCATCGAGTGGCGGTGGCGGTGGCGGTGGCGGCAAGCGGGCGGGTGACAAGCGTTCCTCCATAGCCGGCTCCAGCGACAACAGCGATGCCTGGGTGGACATATCCGATGGCGAGGGAGCAACAGCAGCGACAGCAGACCGCCTGGAGGCGGGGCCGCCGCCCACCGAGGCACAGTTTGTTGTGTGAGTAGCAACAAAAAATCTCTAGTATATTTAATTTATTCCAAAAACATTGAAAGAGGGCCAGAGGGTGGTGTAGGGGATGTTTTGGATGATATGAATTCTGCGTAAATTGCTTATCAGTTTGTTTGGGCCTGGCTGTTATCTTATCGGAGGAGCAGAAAACTGACTGCCGCAGGGGCCGCACTCACTTTTTGCTGTGCGGGTGTCAGCTGGGGTGTTGCCGTTGCGGTGGTGCAACGAAAAGGGTTGCAACAACCGCTTTGTCGTCCCCTGGCCCCAAATATAATCACATGCCCAATCGGGTCAAGGCGGTCGATGGATGGCTCTTATCTGTGGGCTGTCGATAATGGCCAAACAGAGTCGGGGAGAGAGTTGATAAAAGCGCAGAAGCAAGAAGTTTAAGGACAGCCCGCAATCTGGGGATTTTTTCTTGTAACTCGAAGAGGCTTCCATGGTCCGTGCTCCAATTAGAATTGTTCATATTTTAGTCATCTTGTTATTATTATTTTTACCACTGTTTTCAACAATCTCCATTTAAAAATAAACAAAGAAATGGGAGATTATTCGCCGCGTAACAACGGGTAACGTCATTCGGAGTCAACAAGTGACGATATTCTATGTAAACAGAGCAGAGCGTAGGATAAATATAGCGAAATCTTTTTGGAGCGTAGGAAATTCGAGGATGAAGAGTTTGCATAGAATTGGGAGTATAAATGGGTGCGTAGTATCTGGGAAAGATATTTGAGGATAGATTAGTTATAAATGAATATTAAAACCATGTTCCTAATTAAGAGCGTATCTCAGCCTTTATGGGAACACACTACGAGTCCCACGCCCGTAAGTTGCAACACTCCACGCTTATTTGAAGCTCCTCCCACCTATAGCTCGGCGACCCACAATTTGGTGCGTTATCAGCCGATAAGATTGCCGTGCCCCTTGAGGAAACCCTTGTAATGCATTCCCCGGGGTTTCTATTACTAGTTGAAAGCTCAACGGCATAATGTCAGTCAGTCGATGCAAGTGGAACGTTGCACATGGTCGTGTCATGACTGTGTGGTATGATCGATTGCCCAGAGGCCCAGAGCGCCCTCTAAAGTACTCAAAAAAAACCATTTAAAATCTATTAAAAGGGAAAATTAATAGTTTATTTATTTAACTAATTATTTTCAGTGTACGGGAACGCTTCAAGCCGCATCGTACCCGCAGCCCGGACTGGTCGAAGCGCATTAGAGACAAAAGACTGCAACAAAAGAAGGCGATAAGCTGCATAGAGGGTAAGTTTGCCACAATAATAATTTCTATTTGGGGAAATAATAATCTACAAAAGTGCTCAACGAATGGAATTCTTTCTATTATCCGAATGGGAATGTTTCTCTATTTATTATATCCACGTACAAACGTTTCAGCAGCGCGTGAGATTGTGTATCATCTTTGAGAAACAGTTTATCTAATGTTTGTTTAGTTTTTCTTTGTTTTCTTTATTTTTTCAACTTTTATCACAAAGCTTGCGATTCAAATAAAGCTCTTATCGATCGGTGTTGGTTCGTGTCCCAGCTAAAAGTCACCATCCACACATGATTTCCACATCATAACTGTCTGTGAACGTCCGACGATTAGCCGCGCTTAATTGTTGTGTGTGGATGGATCATCAGGGCCACTTAAAAGGTTTTGTTTTGTGTCTCGCCCCCAGGCGCTGTCTGACAAACGAAATGCCAAAAGTAAGGCTAACAAGTCGAGCAGCTAACAGAGCAGATAATTACTCGTACACCCATTACAAATGAGAGTGAGAGTAAGCCCCCGCCAAAAGCGACGACAACAACAACCCCGTTACATGAATCAAGTGTGTGAGCAAGCGCGCACACTGGACAATAGAGTGGGAGAGAGAGTGGATTGGATTGTATGCGACAGGTTCCACAAAAGCCAAATGGCAGGCAGGGTACATTAAACTGCAGGCAAGGCAGTGCAAGCTCTAATCCCGTATACGTACTATGAGTATGAGAGCGAGACTGGTGGAGAGAGCGCGACTGCTTTACCTTCTCTTCGATATACCTCGCTTTGCCAGAGAGTGCAAGAGAGCGAGCGTAAACAATGCCCATAAAGTGGACCGTGCAATTTATGCTTTTTTTTGTTGCTGGTTGCTGGTTACTGTTGGGGGTCTCTGCTGCTCCATCTCTCGCCTCAAAAGTCAATCCAACGCGTTGAGCTCCATCGTGCGGTTGTGGGGCTGCTGCTTTACCGACAGAAAACGACAAATAACCGAGTTCGCTTTGGAAGAGAGGAATTTGTGTGTGTGATAAATGTGAATATCAGATAATTACGAATTGTAGTGTTGTTGCTGGATGCTCTGTGAATAAAAAAGAAAGAAACTCCCGTTGAAAGCATGAATTGCATCCGAAAAGATGATCAAAGACAAAGAAAGAAACAGAGAGAGAGAGAGAGATACACAAAGAGAGCGGGCAGAGTGCAGACTGCAGTTTGCATTACAAGTTTTTGATGTTCGTTTTGTGGAACTGAAAGCCGCTGCGCTGATGCCCTTACACCCGTTACGATCTCCACCTCTTAGTTGTTGTTGTTGTTGTTGTGCCCGCTGCGACGGCGACTGATGACGAAATTGTTTAGCGAAAACGAAAACCAGTCTAGAAACATAAAACCGCTGGCGAGCCAACCTTGAAGAAGTCTTAAAGAAACACGAAACAAAGGCAGATAGAGGGGGAGAGACAAAAAAAAATAGATAGAGATACACCAGTCAAGTCAGTCAGGCAGGCAAAAGGAATCCCAATTCCGAATTTGGACGACTTGGATGACTTTGGCAAATAGACAACACAACTCCATAATGGCAGACAACCGGGCTGTGCGCTTGCACAAGCAACAGAGGCAGCAAACCCCCAAAGCATGATGTGCAATATGCAACGGCGCTTCATTCGAAATTCGAGTGCGAACGTTCATGCTTACATTGCGAGCATTGCGCATGCGCGTAATCCTATGTAAGGGGCTGTCGCCTCCTCTCTACGCCCCATCGCTGCGGCGAAAAGAGTTCAGCGAACGCGTCGCAAAGTTGGAAATTGAAAAATATCTGGTAATTGTTTCACGGCCTGTCTGGTGTCTTGGGCTTTGGGTGAAGTGAAACCCAACCCCACCCGACAGCCCCAGCAAAATGGAAATTCTCAGCTCTCGGCTAAACTTTTACCCGCGGCACGTTCGCCCGTTTTCCATTAGTTTTGCGCTGACACGCCACGCAATAACTGCAGCGAAAGTGTCGTGAAAATATACGAGACGAGATGTGGCATATAGGAAGCCCATAAAGCGAGCTTCTGCTAGAGCGTCCAATTGGTTGACCATATTGGATGCCTGACCTATGACTGTGGGCGGCATTGGCGCGTCGTATCAGTCCGAGTGGAAGGCAATGACATCGTTTGGCACTTAATAAAGTAACCTTAATGCCTTCTCTGGCATTAATCAATCAATCATGTACCGATTGTGGTGGAACCTCGCTTTTACAGCTGCAGATCTTGCACAGAGATCGGCAAACTGTGTTGGCCTTGCACTTGCGTATGGCTCCGTGCCTTGCAGCCAGACTGCATTCCAATGAAACAAAAGATCACACCAGCAGAAGATCATCTTCGCTTCGCACAACGGTACAGACCATTTTCATGCACGTATAAAGAGTGTACAGTGTGCTCCCAATGCAGTGAACCATTAGCAAAAGAGATAAATATTCTGACTTACAGAAGCAAGCTCCAGTTTGCAGACACTTGTTTCGATCTTGGACACAGTTTACTTCTATGCCAGTTCCTCCTAATGTGTGTACACTGTACCTGGATGCTTATTAGTGCTTCTTTTGTTTGGACATCTTACAGTTTCTGTGCATATTTGTCTGTAATGTTTCGTTTCCGCATTGAATCGCATGTCTATCTGCCACACGTACATAATTACGAATATTGTAATCGCCAGTATTGCAGCACGCACAATAATGAAACACCGAAGGTTCGCAGAATGTAGCCCACAACTAAAACCGGTAAATCGGAGCTCGAATATTGGGCGCTCTTCCAGAGCCAGGTCGATCCAGAGCCAGAACAAAGCTCCCACGCACGACAAGTGTCGCCTGCCCAAAATGTTTGTCTTGTTTCTTGAAATATTTCTGCATATATAGCCATAACATATGTATACGTACATGTTTCTATGTGTTGTTTGCATGAGTGTATTATCTTTTATTATATCCGTCAGACCGGTTCGCGTTCGCTGCGCTTGCCTGCCTCCGCCACTGCCTCTTCATCTACGATCTCTGTGTGTACGTGTACGTGTACGTATACGTAATACGAGAGCTGATTTCATGTCTAGTCTCATGCCCCGAGGGTGCTGCTGACACTATGTGATATATCTAACATTAAGAGCACATTCTGAGCTCAGATTTCATAAAGCTGGGAAAATACAAGCAGATTGCCGGAACAGTTTAGTCATTTTATCGATTGGTAAATAAAATCACAGGTGCTCCGGCTTAGGAATATTACAATTCTTAGAAATAGATTCTCTTCAGAGTGTTCTGACTTCGGTGCATGCCCCCTTCGTGCACTCCCAGCACTGTTTTGTGCCGCTTTTAAATTTGATTTGGTAGCCAGTCAGCCAACAGTTAATCGCAGCATGGTAGAGGCACCTGCTGAGGCTGTACCACAATCTGCATTCAAGCATGATTCCATACCATTCCATTTTCCATTATAATTTCGCGCTTATTTTGCATGCCACTCGCTGCTTTTGGTGTGCTTTTTTTGCCACATGCCACACCACATGGCCATTTATCTATGTACTTGCTGGTACATATGTAAAATCATTGTCTGGCCAAACTGCTTTATTGTTGTGACACTCGAGGGGCCTGTTTAATTACCATATGGTATAGTGTGGCCATCCCAGAATGCTGTTTTGGGTTGGGGCTTTTGGTCAATCAGTGAAAAGTCAGCCACCAATTGCTTTCAATTAAATGCAGCAGTCGACTTTCAATTGCATTTCCATAAGAAAAGAAGTTGATCAAGAGAGAGAGAGAGTTCAGCAACAACTTCTACAGTGAGCGTAAAAAGTTCTCCAATGCCTAACTGAGGGTTCGTTCATTTATCCCCCAAGTGTAGACCCCCACAGATGCTCGATAAAATGTGAGAAAAGATGTCTGCGACTTACCCAAAGAACGGCCAGCGTCTCAGCTGCTCGAGCAGCCTGAGCAGCAATGGCAATCACTCGGATCTGGTGACACTGCCGCGCAAGCGTCGTCCCCGAGCCGTTGGCGAAGTTGCCGTCACCTGCCAGCACTCCACCATCGTCTATCTCAATGCGCCGCCAACCGAAGAGCCCGTGCCTTGTGCCCCCGAGCCGCTATACCAGAACGAGGCAGCTGTCGAGCAGCAGCAGGAGTTAGACAAAAAGGAGAAGCGTCGCTGGGTGCGGGCTGAGGTGACGACGCTGCGGGTGTGCCATAAGGAGCTGGGCAATCCCAGCCAGGAGTCCATGGTAGTGAGCACTTTTGTAGGTTCGTTTCTGTGGGAAAAGGGGGAACTTCTTACAATAAATACCCGCAACTAATTTCCTTTACTTCGTGCTCCTTCACAGATGACTCCGATCACTATTACGAGACGCTGCACTCGAGCCAGTTGCAGCGGCAGCAGGATGGAGCACGCAATGGACTGCGAGCCTCGCATCGACGCGCCAAGAGCCACTCGGTCTCCGCGCATGCGCTGGGCGAGCATGTGGGCATCTCCGACGACTACGACTCCTTTGAGACGGACAGCGATGAGCATGGCGAGGAGTCGCCCAGTCAGCGTCTGCGAAACGTGAGTGAAAATGGAATGGTGTCTGGATAGTTTGATTTATTGTATTCCCCCTTTTGCAGCACAATGACAGCGGCGTGGACATGAGAAATCATCGCCTGCCCAAGCCACCGGCACCACAGAATCAAGTCTACGAGTTTGTGCGCAAATTCAAGGATTTTATATCCAACAAAAAGTCACCAAAGGGCAGCCAGCAGAAGCTGTACGAGAACACGACAACGGGCACGGCCTTCTATGTGGAGAGTGGCAAGGCGCAGCAGGAGATCTACGATAATACAGAGTACTCGGCCAAGGCGCTGAGCAGCTCCGAGAAGACTCTCAATGGCTTCCACAGCTCGGATAAGACACTCAATGGCAGTGGTGGCTTCCACAGTCCGGCAGAGCAACCGGCAGTGCTGCGTGCCAAGCAGAAGAACGGCAAGAGCCTGCGCTCCAGGCTGCGCAAGAGTCTCGTGGGTTCCACGTTCGACAGCAAGCAGCTCTCCGGACTGACGGCCACACGGAGCACGTTCTACCTGGAGGATCCAGAGCTGGGACCGGAACCGAGCAGCGCCGGGGAGCTGGACTCGGGCTTCTCCGAGAAGGCCTCCTCCGGCGATATTCCCGTGCAGATGCCCAGCGCTGAGGCACAGAAATTCTCCACCGTTGCCCGCAAGGCCAAGAAGGAGGCCAAGGCGACGAGACGTCGCACCACAATTGGGCTGCGGCCACACGATCCACCGCCACCACCTCCACCAGCACCGCCGTTCCCTGGCCTCAAAGTGGATCAGGGACAGGGGGAGCAATCGGGGCAGCCGGGACAGACCACCTCGTGGTATGCCGAGTGCGGAGTCTTCAAGCAATCGAATCATCTCAATGGCAGCCCATCGCAGGCCAACGACGACCTGGCCACGCCCACGCCAAGTACGCATGGGGGCGGAGGCAGCTCCTGGTACGCTGAATCGGGTCTCTACCAGACGAGCGGCATCTCTGTGGCCAGCTCCAGCGGCAGTTCGGGCGTGTCCACCGGCAACGAGGCAGGTCTGGGCGATGATCTGCAAACGGAACCCCATAGCATGTTCTCCAACGAGCCACTCTATCAGATGTACAGCGCCGCCAAGCTGGAGGTGAGTTTGCTGAGCCTCCATAAAAGAACTTAAATTGATTCTCCTTGCTCTCCTTACAGTCAATCACTCGCGATCTGGAGGCGCACGAGAGCTCTGCGGATGGCTATGAGGAGATTGGCATGCACGCTCTACGCAGCCCAAAGCCACAGCCCGAGCCCGCACACGTGGAACAGCTGCCCAAGCAGCGACCATCCGCTTTGCAGTTGGTGGGACCAAAGAACGGACCATCTCGCACGCTTTGGAGCGAGATCCCAGAGGTTATACACTCCGGCATATTGCGTAAGTGAACTTCAGCCTTGACTTGTTCCTTCGGTGATTCCATTTTGTATATTCCAGCGACACTCAAAGCTCGGGAGCGCAGCCTGCAGGAGGCCAAGTTCGAGATTATAACATCGGAGGCGAGTTACCTGAAGTCGCTGAGTCTGCTGCGGCGACACTTTATGAACAACAGCGCCTTTGTGGACAGCACGGTGCTGACTCCGCGGGATCGCAAGGCGCTCTTCTCCTACATTGTGCCGGTGCACGAGTGCTCCGAGCGACTGCTGACAGAGCTGGAGTGCTGCTGGCAGGACAACATCATGCTGCATGGGCTCAGTCGTTGCATCTACGAGATTGCCGAGCGGCACTTCCACGTGTACATTGCCTTCTGCGAGCATCAGGGCAGGATGGACAGAACGCTGCGTCGGTTAAAGGAGGCCAAGAATGGCGTGTTCCAGCAGCATCTGGAAAAGCTGGAGGCGAGTCCCAGCTGCTGTGGCCTGAATCTCCACTCGTTCCTCATGCTGCCCATGCAGCGGATCACACGCCTGCCGCTGCTCATCGATGCAGTGTTCAGCAAGGAATCGCCACACAATCAAGAGGAGTACGAGAGCTGGAAACGCACGCTGGCCCTCGTCCAGAAGGTGGTGGCGCAGTGCAACGAGGCGGCCAATCGCTGGGAGCAAGCCTACGAGCTGGAGCGCATCTCGAAGCAGCTGGAATTCCCCTCGCACATTCGAGCTCTGGCCATTGCGCCCGTGGGCGTGCCCAAGCAGGGCGCCAAGCCGCGCTTTCTGGTCAAGCGGGGGGAGCTCACACATCTGGTGTGGCGTGGCGACGATGCCAAGCTGACATTTGGCAAGCGATTCACCAAGTCCAGCATCTATGCGTTTCTCTTCTCCGATCTGCTGGTGCTCTGCAAGCGCCGTGGCGAGTCCAGCTTCAGTGTGTTTGACTATTGTCCCAGGAGCATGTTGACCATTGCCTCGGGCGACACGCTGCCGCAGCTGCCAACCAAAGATATCAAGGACCAGGCCGGCAAGAACCTCATCCTGATGACGCTGCTCGAGAACTGCGATCGCAAGACAGTGGAACTAGTGAGTGCCGCACATCGATTATTATTTCAATTTCCGTTTCTTATGCTTGTTTATTCTCCTCAAGGTGCTCTCCTGCCCTTCGGTGTCGGATCAGCAGCGTTGGCTGCAGGCCATGCGGCCACCAGAGGCGGAAACGCCCGGCGAGAAGCTCTACGAGTCCTGGGACTGTCCGCAGGTCGTGGCCAAGCATAGCTACGAGTCCGACGAGCCAGATGTTCTCAATCTAGAGCTGGGCGATGTTGTCAACGTATCACGCAAGCTGCCAGATGGTGAGGCTGCACATTTCTTTGCTTAATGTTTCCGTTTCCCCCTTCTAATGATCTGCTTCCCTCTACAGGCTGGTACCAGGGCGAGCGCATTCGCGACGGTGCCGTCGGCTGGTTTCCAGGCAGCTACACGGATGAACTCAACTCTGCCCACGTACGCTCCCGCAATCTGAAGCAGCGTCACCGCCTCCTCACCTTCACGGCCACCTATCTGGAGGCGCAGAAGGGCAAGTGAAGGATTGTCCCTGCCTCCTACTCATTCGCTATCGTGGCCATCTCCAACCGCTTGCCACACGGCAAGTGGTCGAGTATTATTGTGTGTGTAGTGCGTGTGCAATCCATTAGCAATCCATTGTAGTCCGCAAAACAAACTTAAAGTGAATTACCATAATACATAAATAACCGATAGGAAATGTGATAATTTAATTTAGATCGAGAAAAAAAACGTTACAACAGAATAGTAGAGCTACAAATATTTGCCCCCATATTCGATAAGCACTAGCCACTATTTATATTTATGGATACTTACCACTGTAAGGGGATATTTATGCGTATTCTCGGTAAATAAATAAAATACGAAAAGAATTGTTGAAACAAGTGAAGTGTACAACAAAGTGTAAATGGTTTTGTTTACCTAGGAATATTTTATGGCAATCAATTGGCAGAACTCTCTCGATCTCATAAACATGCCGCGTCCAGATCGGATCATAAATATGGGAAATATAGACTGACGGCAATTACAAATATTTTATTGATATGCAACGGCTAAGCTAAGCTTTGGGTACCTAAATCACGTGGAAAAAGAGGGCCAGAGCGAGACGGTCGATCCCCATCAAAATCTTGGCCACAAACAGGCATGCCAATCCCCAGTCGGCCGCTGCCTAATCGCTATATATTGCATAGAAAAACCCAATATTTACCCAACCTACCCGCAAAAAGAGGACCCATTCAAACATTCGCTTTCTTTCCATTATAAATGTCTGTATTTTGCAGATTTCAAAAATATATGTACACAATACATACGTACATACATACATTGATTGATTTCCATTGCTTGATTTCGATTTTTGGTTAATTAACTGCAAATTGCAGATTAGAGTTTAATTATATGTAATTCAGTAGCTGCACTTTGTTCCGTTACGTTTCGTGCCATTCCGTGGCATATTTTAGCAGTTTACAAATACATCTTACGATTATGTTATTGCTGTCATAAATTATTAAATCTAAATCAAACACTAAATTAAGGTGCGGTGCGGTGTGCGATATGTTGTATTGGGCGATCAATCGATCCGATAGCAGCGCGTTCGGGAGTGCTGCTAAGCCGAACGGCACACACAGCACACACAATCAGACTCGCGGCTAAATCTAAATCAAATAATTTACAATACTTCTTCATGTTCATGTGACCGGCGATGAGTGGATGTGATAAATTTAAATGAATGTCCCCCCCCGTGCGTGAGAGAGAGAGAGGACTGCTGCTGAATCGTGTGAGTGCTACGGGCTAAGAGGCTATTGGCTATGGCTAAGCGCTAGATTCATACACGTCTACATAAATATATCACAAAATCAGTGAAATGAAAATTCGCTGGAGTATTTGCTTCTTTTGTTGTTGTTTCGCTTTGGGGATGATGCATGAGATGGATGCGACTTGTTGAATCAATGAAAGCAATGACTGGCAATGACTGGGCACATCTAATATCCTTCCATCCTTCTATCCTTTTCCTATTCCTATCCTGTTCCTATCCTGTTCCTATCCTGTTCCTATCCTGTTCCTATCCTAACCTGTAGTGTCCTTTCCTCAGCAGTGAATCTGCGTTCGTCATCTGAAACTGATGCCGCACTTGCGACTTATCTTGGGCGTGTGTATGTAGGCAATCGAAAGCAGCAGCGGCACATCGTTCTCGGAGAGCTGCAGCGGCGTGGTAATGTCACTCAGCCGACATGGATCCGTTTCCAGCAAAAAGGCGGCCAGCGTTTCCGACTGCAGATAGATTTCCTGCAGCTTTGACTCCAGAAATGACAGGCACTAAAAGAAAAACGCATTTAATACAAAGATTAAAACACAATTGAGGTTGGCTCTACCTCATAGGCGGGTATGCCGCCAGCGTGCATGGCCTGAACCGTTTCCAGCATGCTCGAAACCAACTGCGACATGCCCACGGGCGAGCTCTGGCCCCCGGCATAGGGAAACTGCTGTGCCTGCGACGAGATCAGGCGCACATCCCACTTGTCCATGTCCGCCACAATGGCAATATTCTCCGCCGGCTGTGAGATGAGTGAGGCCGAGCGTGCGGCCAGTGCCAGGTCCTCGCGGAGATGCATTTCCCACTTGTTGGGCGGTGCACAAGTGCCCTGCGGAGATGTATGCAAAAACTTTGATTAGAATCGTTAAAATTGGTTGCCTTTGGTGGGGATTTCTCACCTGAAGCACCATGTCGGAGACATAGTGATCGCTGACGCTCAGCATCAGCGAGGGTATAAAACCAGCGCGCAACTGATCGCCCGCTGGTTCATCGTCCTGCGGCAGCTCCTTGACGCCAGGTACGGGTAGCTTCAGCAGCTGCTGAGACACATTCACTGCCGCACACTTGGCGGCCACCGAGGAGATGGAACTGCGACCCGAGGGCACACGCTTCGGCTGCTGTTTCCGCGTGAATCCCGTCTGCTGTGTAGCCGCTGGCTGTGGTGGCTCTGGCGCTGACTTGAGTGTGTCTATGGAGGCCGCAGAGTTCACAGACTGCAGGGTTCTGTTGCTCTGATTCTGATTATAGGAGTGCACCTCGTCCGACTCAAATTCCAGCTCCGTGGCATTGGAGGGCGTCTGATAGGTAGCCGAGGGGCCCATCATTCCGCCACTGCTGCAGACAATGCATCGCTCGCTGCCCAACGCTGGCGTTGTGCTCGGATTGGAGTTGGCATTGGGTCCGATGGAGCTGCTGCTGGTTGCCAGCTCGGGATGCTGGTGCAGGGTCACGCTGCTGTCGCTCGACTTGAGGGCCGCCTCGCTCGCCTCCAGCTTGGTGGCCTTGTCCATCAGCAGATCGTAGTTGTTGGACAGCACCAGATTCTTGCTCTTCATGTAGTTGGTGGCTATCTGTGGGTACTGCTCAAAGTTGAACTTCATTCCAGAGTGCTTCTTGGCCATGCTGGCCACGTCGTGTGTGCGCTGATGCTGCGCACACAGCATGAGTGCGGCGGCTGGCTTTGGTTCCTCTGTGAGATCTTCGTTGCTCTTCTTCAGATTGATCAGCGGCTCGTTGTCGCCCAGCACAAAGACCACACCATTGCCATTGTCCGAGGCGGTCTGCCTGCAGATGCCATGCTCCCGCTCGATCAGCTTGTGGCAGTGATCAAAGTGAATCTGCTCCTCCAGGCTGACGTTCTCCTTGATGGGCTCAATGCCCCAGGTCATGCGATCGCTCTTGCCCATGCTGTTCTGCGTGATGAGATCCGACAGCGACAGATGCGAGGCGCGCCTCTCGTGGGTGAGTGGCTCAAAGTCGTCCGTGTCCAGGGCTCCCCGTTTCTCAATGCCATCTGGATTTCCCTCCACAGAGTAGCTGCTGCAACGCCGCTCCAGCTTGCGATTGATGATCTTAATGCCCTGCTGCAGCTTGGCCAGATCGCTGAGGCTCAGACCCTCCTTCACGCCAGCCGCCATGGGCACCATGTTCCAGAAGAAACTCTTCTTGCGCCCAGCGGTGGTGGCTGGTGCCGTTTCTGTGGCATCATCGAACTCAATGGCCTCGATGGCACCATCATCGATGCTGCCGCCGCCTGTGCCCACAGAGCCCGAGCCCGAATTCGACTCATCCTCCATGCTCAGCTCCACATTGTCCGGCGTGGTGACTGTCAGCCGTATCCGCCCATCCTTGCCGGTGCGAAAGTACTGCTGTGCCTGCCGCGCCAGCAGCGTCTTCTTGTCGATGCCAGTATCCATCAGGTAGTTGCCAATACGCAGCTCCTGCTGCACAAAATGAGAGTCACGGAAGGCCAGAACAGTGGGGATTTCGTTCTTCTTCAGCGTCTGCATGCCATCTTGATCTGCCTGATCGTCCGACCCCAAATCCCTATCATCCTCGTCCTCGCAGCAGTCCAGCAGCTGCTCCCCGCCATCATCCACATCGTCCACAATGGCATTCAGATTCTGTTTGCAGGTGGCCACCCTGCTCAGGCCGCCTGTGCGTCTCAGCTGCGAGGGTGGACTCTTGTGCCGCTCCTGACTCTGCAGGTTCTGGCTCTGATTAACCAGATCGTTGATCAGCTGCTTGTTGAAGTCCTCCCGCTTGGCCGTGCGCCGCACCTCGCTGCAGCGTATGAAATACGTGAGAACATTAAGGAGCTTCTCCACCCACAGCTTCTCCGCTCCATAGATGATGGTGCGCACCAGCTTGGGCGGCATGCCAATGGCTCCATACAGATCCCCCAGCTGCGCCCACAGTGCATTGTACGGATGCTTCTGGGCCACTTGCAGCAGTTTGGCTCTCTGCTCAATGGCTGCCGAGGAGGCAGAGGAATCTGAGCGTCTCGAACCTGAACTATTGAAGGCCGAGACGGTGGCCACCCAGCCCAGATGGTACGTTAGAATACCCGTCAGCATGGTGCTGATGAAGCTGCAAAAACGAGAGGAATTAGTATTTACTAGAAAGAGCAGAGGGAATGGCTTACAAATTGGAGTCCTTGGTATCAGCAAAGGACAACAAATCACAGAGTTCCTTGATGAAACGTTCGGCCACAGTCTTGGAGTACTTGCTGCCGCTGGTGGTGATGCTCAGCCAGACAGGCGTCTTGATGCGTGGCGCCGTAAAGAGATCATTGAACCACTGCTGTGTGTCCTGCCAGGCCTGGAACATGATCTGCGGGAAGAAGTCCTCAAGTTAAATGCATTTCAAATGGATTTCTATGATCTTGTTTACCTGCAAAAAGTTCTTGTGATTGATGTACGCATGCTCTGTGCTGGCTCGCAGGCGACTTAGCATGGACTCGAGCAGCGCAATGTGTTCGCTGCAGAAGAGCTCCATCTCCTCCTCGAAAGACTCGCTCATGGTGATGCACACGGCCAGTCCCAGCTTGGCCCGGCGCCGCAGATTGGCCTGACGACGTCCCATCTCTGGATTGCTACGCGACTCGTTGGCACAGTAGCTGGCGCGCCTGTACTGCGGTGGGCCCATGCCGCCGCCCTCGCTGCCACCGCCACCGCCACCGCCATTGCCATTGCCCGATCCCTGGCTAGAGCTGCCGCCATTCGCCAGCGTGTAGTTGTCGCTGAGGAAGCCGATAAAGTCGTTCCTGGAATGCTCGTTCTCGAAGGAGGTGCGCAGATTGCGCGAGATTCGTCGCTGCAGGCAGCCGTCGCTGGCAAACTCCTCCAGATGCGGCGAGCTGACCGAGAAGGCCGAGTCCATGCTGAGCTTACGCATGGCATCCGACTGGTCGGATATCACGCTGCCCAGGCTGCTGCGTGTGGAATACTGATACGACCACTGATCCCCGCTCGAGTAGGGACCGCCTGATCCACTTCCACTGCCACTGCCGCTGCCGCTGGCCGAGTAGCCAGAATCCGTGGCATTGCTGTACGTGGAGGAGTAACGCGGTCCGCTCGAATCGCTTGAATGAACGGTAGACAGCGACTGCTGATCGGGGGCGGGCACATCCAGGGGTGGCGTGAGGCTCATCTGGCGACCAACACTCACGCTGAAGGGCATGGAGAAGGAGTTCATCGAGAGACCATCCATGGAGCCGTGTTCGCTGCAAATGGAGCTGCGCGGCGTGGCCAGGCTGTTCATGGAGAGCGTCGAATAGGGCGAGTGGCCCGCTCCACCGATGCTGCTGCTGCTGGTGGGCGTGAGGTACACCTGTGAGCACAGAATCCTCGCCGGTTCGGGCAGCCAGTGTACTTTAAGGGCGGTGCCACAGAAGGACATTGGCAGCGAGCCAAAGACCATCTCCCCCAGTGGCGTGATATCCGCACCAGAGGGACGATTGTGCTGGAAAAGGATGCGCATTGTGGTCTAGAATTCTCTTGGCTGAAGTCTGACACTCACCTTGTAGCCATAATCTGGGCACACATCGATAAAGTTGCTGCCATTGCTGCTGGAATGTGCCTTGGCCTGGATCTTGCCGTTCTGCAGCGATGTGTACTTTTCATTCTTCACGAATTTCCCACTGGCTGAGGTGGACTCCTTATGCGTCACCTTCTGCAGGGCATTGGAATCGAAGAGCAGGCGACGTGTATCATCCTCTTTATAGAGCAGCACACGCACTTGGCTGCCCTCGAAGGGGAAACGACTGCAATGAACGGAGGTTAAAATATGAAATTAATTGAGCTACAAAACATTTCCAAAAGTTGTTCAAAACTATCCAATCATGCTGAAGTTTTATAAATCGGTTTACAATAGATATCCGTTTGACGCTGGGACCGCTATACCTTTATAATTGTGAGTCACACACATGGCTTTGATTAAAGACTTTTAAGAGTCCCCTAATGCAGACAGTCGCCATCTGTTTAACATCTTAAGACGGTTCCGTCCACCCCCATAGACATTTGGATGTCGCAACGATGAGGTAGATTATAATGCGCACATCTTTGGTGTCCTCTCTGTCACGTCTCTCGCTCTCTATCTCTCCCTTCCGCTGTTGATTGTTCGTTTCAATTAAATGGCAAATGCGACGATGCTCTATATATAGCGAGGCAACTTTTGGCACGTGACACGTGTATTACTCATGCCACACCCAAAACGACACTTGTCTTTCTTTGTACATGATTGGCATATTCTGAGAAATATATGGAGCAAGTCCTGAAGAAAGATAGACACGACCCCCCCACCATCGATCACTTTCCATATTCCGATATGGTTTTACGCCACACCTGTGCAAGCAGCTGCTCCTCCTCCTCTGATTTATTTTTAGTGGGTTTATAAATGGGCTTGTCTAAGTAGCGCTAATACTTGGAGGAGGCGCCGCCTCTGCCTCTCCAGAAATTAGCGCTATAATTAACAATTACCTCAAAATGTCGATGATAGTTTCTCCGACAGTGTCTGGGGGTGTGGGGCGGTACGCTAGGTGCTGGGAATTTGGGGCTCGAACTTGTTTTAGAGCTTCATAAATGCTTTATAGCCCCCACAGCCGATAAGACGGTGGGGGCCAACGCTAGGCGTTGCGTTGGCTACGCACCGAGAGATTACCCATGGAACGGAACGGATCGGTATGGGTATGGGACGGCGGTGTGTCCATCGGTGTCCGGCTGTGTCCTCGGCTGATTTTTGTGTTGGTTTGAAGTCACGAGTGCACGCCGGACTGGATATAAATTCAAGACTAAAAGACCTGTGGACGGGTGTCGTCGGTCGGTTTCTTTGAGCATTGGGGCCAATTAGGGTGCAGCTTTTAGGCTGGCTGTCTGGAGTGTCTGGAGTGTCTGTGGTGTCTTACGTGTATTTAAAAGGTGGCGTAGGCATGCGGCAATGCGTAATTGCTGTTGCCCGTTACAGCTTCCGACTAAATGTAGATTCTGTTACGGTTTGCAGATTAATATATAATCTACAGTTCAGTTCAGTGCTCACAGGTTAAGTTCTGTTCTGTTCTGAACGGACGGACGGACGACGAGCTGTTGATATCTTTATGGCTGCGATGCTAGTCAACAAATGAAGTTCAAGGCGTTTCGCCACAACAGTGACAGTGACGCTGACGGCGACACCGACGGCTGGAATGGCGACAACGTCTCGGACTCGGTAGTCGGATCGGGAATCGGGGAATTCGTCAGAGGTCCCGTGCTGAAGCTCGTACGCTAGCGCGCACAGAGTGGAGCAAGGCGGTAGAGAGTGATTACGGGGGCATAGTCGCGTATGCATTATAATAAAACCAGACCTACTCTGTCCCGTACCCTGCCAAATCGATATACATATAATATACACACACACACTAGAGATAGAGATAGATAGTACAAGCAACGATCCTAAACGAGGCGGCTGCCTTCGTCGTTTAACCGAGCGTCGGATGGCATGGGGCATGGGGCATCCAATTTGGAGCGACGCGCTGCTGCTCACATGACTCGCTCGTCCAGCTGGGTGCACACACGACACGAATGAATCCAATCCGAGAGCCGAACTGAACCGAAAACAGAGTCAAAGTCGAACGAGCATCATGTGCTCCATCGTCGCTTGACCATTTGTTGCTTGTCAAAGACGGATGGATGTGTTAATATTTTGTTTAACAACAAAAAGCAACCAACAAGTAATAATGCCAACAGTGCGGGGGGTGAAAAACAAAGAGAAAGGAACACACAAATATTCGGCCAGAAAAAGACAGCGATGGATGACTTTTTGATGGATTCGTTGAGAGACTGACGTTGTGTGCCAAAATTTAATAAGCAGATTAGGTTGATTTTTTTGCACGTAAGCAGAGTCGAAAGCTAGACACCCTTCTGCACATACAGTTAGTGGGTAGGGTATTCAAACTTGAATAGCCAGGGGGAGCGCTGCCTCACCTGGCAAAGAGAAAAAGCGAAACAACACACAAGAGATCTGCGCGAAGGCAATTATCGGACGTCCGCTAAGCAGAGACAGAAACAGAAACAGAAACCGAAACAGAAACTGAGGCCAGTCAGACAGGCACTGTTTATTCTATTCTTTCATTGCTTTTATTTTCATTATTTTCTTTTACTTGGGGGCCACCGACACAGATGGGATGGGCCCCAAGAGGGATCAGGGAGAGCAGCAGCAGCGGCAAAGCGGCAACGCGGCATTCACTTGGATCACATGCTTTTTTCAGCTACGCAAGCAAAAACAAAAGCGAGCCACCAGCCAAACAAAATTAAGCAAATACATGCAGACTTTAAGTGTACACACATACACACATATGTATGTGCATAAAATACATGCATAATGAGTGAGTGCGAGAGTGAGTATGCTCGGCCAAGCACTTGAAGCAAGGTATTCTTCTACAAGGTGTGCCAATTCGCTGTTCCAAGTGGTGGCCTCACGCGGAACGGGACCATCGCTCGTTTCAAAGAGAGCTTTCTTGCAATGCCCCACCTTTAATAAAGACACCTTGCACATGAAGATACCCAGTGCTCGCTCCTGTACTCTGTCTATCTCTTTCTTTCTCTCTCCTTGTATTTTGATTGATTTGATCGCGTATATTTATAGAGTGGCGAGGGAGTGGGGGCGTTCGTGCAAGGCAGAGTGGCATTCGAGTGGGTGACAATTGTTATCGGGCTTTAGTTGGGATTATGCTTTGATTAGCCCTTGGATTTCCCTGCCTCAAGAGAGACGGAACGCCAATGATTGATATGGGAAAACTATTCCAAACCGGAACGCCAACAAAACTGTGCACGCAAACTGATAAGCGAAATGTGGTTCAGCCACATTAATAGGTAGAACATGGAGTACAGTCGAACTTCTCTAAAGCAAATCACCATTTTGGAGAGTTTACAATTTCGACTTGCAGAAGCTCCTCTGTCTGTCTACACGTGTCCGGCTACCACTCGTATGAAGAGGCAGAACCAACAATTATTATAATCAAATCAACAACTGTTAATGACTTTACAGAGCGTGTCTGTCTCGGCTCTCCCTCTCCCTGTCCTCTTTGTCCGTCTTCCTCTGTCTTTTGTTCCGTCTGTCAGTCTCTAATTTCGTCTGTCCGTCTGTATGAGTGAGTGAAAGAGAGCGTGGCAAATAAAAGCACAGATTTCCAAAGCGACGACAACAAAGCGCAGGCACAGTAAAGCAAAGCAAAGCGAAACCACAGCAAAAACAACAACAACAACCAGTTGCTCCATACAACAAGTCACATGACCCAACCCAACAACCACGATGGCGACGTTTGGAGACTTTGGAGACGCCGGGAGACGTTGGCGGTGGTGGTGGCGACTACAACGACAACGACAATGGAAATGGCGGAATGACAAGGGGAGCAGCAGCAGCCCAACAAATTGACTATCATTATCAATGGCCTATTATAAACAGTTATATATAGTAAGTCCGTATACCATATGGTCTTATATTATATTTTATTCTCTCGTATATCCCTCAATTGTTGTCCAGTGTGCGAGCAACGACCTTCACCTTCACCCCGTGTGCCAACTGAGCAGGGAAGTACGAGTATGTGCAAATAATGAATGTCAAGTTCAAGGCAATTGGCAAAATCCGCTTCCTCAGGCTACGAGGTGTGTGGAGGCTCTGGCGACTGGTAATGGCCAGAGCAACATAAGTTATTTATCAGTCGATGCGGACAATGTACGAGTACGAGTGCGAAGCACACACCGTCCGTATGTCGCTCACAATACTAATGAGCAAATGACGACAAAAACATCGAGTGATTTTCATTGTCACTTGAGAGCAATGCAAACAGACCCCAGACCTCACCAGACTACAACGACAACGATGACGATGACAACCGATCCGAGGTCTGGAGGAGGGCGGCGCAATCAATCAATGAATGGCCCCACCAAAGGCGGAGGCAGAGGCAAGGCAATGACAAGTGTGGGCGTTCCGCAGAGCACTTGTGACACCTGGCAAACACCAGAACACACACCAGCAAATAGTGACTCAAGTGCTGGGAGCCCCTGAAAGCAGGTGAGACCACGGACCACCATCCATTTACTATGGAATCCTCTACGGTACACAGATGACGACATCTCAGTGGATCTTTTTGTATTTCACCTTAATCCAACAATGTCTCATCATCATCAGCTGTAGCAGCAGCAGCACAGCAGCAAATGAGTAGAAATTCAGAGAAACTTCCGTAAATTTCAAGGAAATATAAAAAATGTTAATGAAAAGATTGCGGCGGGTTCTGGCTTGAGGGATCAATTAAAATTGTTTTGTGAAACGAAGAGCATGTGAGTGAGCGAGAGCCCTTGAAGATAAAGCAGAATCCGAGTTCTTTGTTAGCTTTTCCATAATATACACATAAACCTTGTGATTGGTCGAGGTCTGTGGCGACTGAAGTACGGATCAGAATTTGTTGACCCCTGAGAGTGTGTGTGCGCTACTGCTATCTGAACGATCTGTTAAAACAGGCAATACAACTCGGAAACTTGTAAGCGGACATTACTCAACTGAATAATATTAATAATAATAACACTGGTACTTTGAGCGCCATTTATTTACACAAAATGGTTTACTCAAATCTCATAATATTTCCATGAATTCCAAGTGCTGTTTTCGTTTTGGCATTGTATTACCTTTTCCAGCACAGCCCCCGGATTCGGAGCTAAGACAAAGGCAAATACAATTGTTACCCGATTCGTAAAGTTAATTTAAATAGAGCTTATGAATGAAATGGAACAAAGAGCCAGCCATATGGCCAGATATTCGAAATTGGCTTAGCTCTGGAAGGTTGTTGTGGGTGGGGGGCTTCTGTTAATAGATCTTTCGGCTTAATTTAGGGCTCCGGCCCTGCCTTTTGTACTTACTTTGTTTGTTTGCTCATTATCAGTCGGCGGCGGCGGCAGTAAAAAAAGGTACGCCTATTTTTTTATTTTCGTCAACATGATAATAAGTGACAATAACGATGCGGCGGCACCACGGCAGACAAAACAGCGTTAGCTGGCGTCTTGCTCACGAGGAGGGGTACTACATTCCAAAGAGATACCCATTAATGTCCCCTAGAGGAGATTAATAGTGGAGCTGGATGATTCGTTGGAGGCAGGCTAAACTGATGAACAATTTTGTCAGATTTAAAAATTAAATCACATACAAATTCTTAATTTTTGCTGACTCTGATCCACACATTCTTATTCAAAACCAATATCCCTTGCATTTACAGGGCACAAAACTGGATACGCGTCGACGTCGACGACTCACTCATATGACTTGGCAGACCACGCGACTTCGCACATGAACCCGAACCCCTGTACGCCCCGCCACACACCCGTACCACCCACTCAATTTGTTGCCATTTAAATGTGCTGATTTCTGTTTACCCTCCACTCTACACTGCACCCCATACACGGAACACAACAACAACAGATGGCGGGCTTCGCATGTTCATAAATATATGTAGATGTGTGAGTAAGTGTACCGACTAGTGTGACTTCTCTTTATTCATGGATGTAGTAATCACATTCATATTCATAACTCAATGATGATGACACGAGGCAGGAGATGAGACTATTTTTGGATACATTATTTGGCCAGACAAAATGGCACCACATCACATCCATACATTTGTGTGTATATTCGATCGATACGATCCATGTAAGTTCGATGGTTCACACCTGTGCCGTGGCACCTGAACAACAATAACTATCATTCCCCGCATATGAGCCGTGGCAATCCCCACACCACTCCACTGCATAGTGGAGAGCGCCGTTTTGATTGATGTCTGATGTCTGGGACAGTGTTTGGCCAAACAATTTGCGGGCACTTATCGAGCACTATTAATGAATTTCTAATTTACGACTCATTTGGCATGACACTAAGCCGGCGAAAAGGCTCTAAGTGGAATCATCCATAATGGTTCATTCAGACATTTGGTCTTTCTGTCTGTCGTTCGGTCAATCAGTCGGTCGGTCAGTTGGACAATTGGTGAAAGAAATTGATATGTGATTTGCGGAGCTATCAGCGCTTTGTTCGCTTTATTTGATCGCCCATCAGATGGATGTTTTTATCTTTTATGGGGCTTCACACGTGCCTGAAGCTGCCACCTGATTTTTGGTGCTTTTCTTAGCCACACACAATGGCAATCTGTTGGCACAAAGTTTTCCACCCTTGGTGCTAATTCCCTTTCGAAGATCGAATTCATGTGAAATCTAGCCGGGCTCGCCTGCCCTGCCACATATCGCAGGCAGTTGGCGATTTCGCGATTTCGATCTGCGATTCACGGAGTGTATGAAATCACAGTTTGTATATAGAGGTGGAGGTGCTGTTCGGTCGAAATGGTCTTTTTGCGTGAAATCCCCGAACTTATCGGGAATTAATACTAGCCCGCTAATAACTGTTATATATTTATGTACGTACAAATACTTTTTTTGGGGGAATGACTTGCGAATTAGGTTAAGGAATTTTCAAATGCGCCTTGCCTTCTTCTGAGGCACATGATGCCACTGCCTCCGTCTGGTTTTTTTGGTGTTTTTTTTTTGCTTACCATATATCGAAAATTTAATACAATTTTTGTATGGCTCTCTTGTCATGTGACCAACTGGCTAGCAAATGTCTAAACATGGTCACGACCTGGTGGTGCTGTTGTTCATATGATTCACGGCGACATTTGGTTGATTCACTTCAGGTGTCCAGACCTTGGATACATATGGAACGAACGTATGGTACGAGTGTACAGCCACACGGTATCGTATAGAAATTTCCAGAATTTAATTTTGCTGGCTTTTCTTCTAGGGTGTGACTGTTCTCTCTCTCTCTCTCTTTTATTCTTAGACGGAAAGTATTTTTAAACCACTTCTTTTGGCCAACAAAAACACACAGACCCAGCAAAAATATGAACGATAAGTGGGGGTTCAGGCGGTTTTTAGTCATCTGTCATGGAAAATTACCCCACTAGGACGGTGCGGGGGCAGCGGACGCTAGACAGTAACAGTAAATAATGCCAAATGGAGTTTATTTTTTATTAACAATCGTTCTGTGTGTGTGTAAGCGTTTATTTAGTTTACAGCGGGCCCAAAAACCTGACCTACTACAAAGATAGCGGCCCAAAGGGAGGTGGGGAGAGAATTCGAGAGTGGGCGGGTGTGAGGTGTGGGAGTTTGTCGAGCCAGCTGTCAACACTTTACGGCGTATTTTTTTCTCCTGTTATTTTTTAAGTGTTCAAAGTGCAAAAACCCCGCGCTTAATTAGCAGAGCGAAAAAGCTTCTATCACGTGATGGCGCGCTCGAATGCTGCCTGCCCTGGCACATACTATGTACAACCGTTGACAGGCGCGGTAATAAAAGTATGTACACCCGGAGAGGTATTGGTCAATAGGCACTCGAATCTGACAATTTCACCATTACCCTACATACATATATACAGGTATTTTTGGAGCTGTAGGTACAAACTTCCACCCGTTGCCGTCGTGTTATCGGTCAGACCCATTAAACGGGGCGCTAATCAAATTGATCGAAAGATTACGGCCGAAAAAGGTGTAGCGAACCGCATTTCATATGCAAATAAAATGCACCCACTATAGTGCCCACCACTGTTCGATTCAGTTAGAGTTCCCAATCAGAGCAGCCCACCCACACACTCCTGCCGTACCCATCCCGCACGCACGAGTGTCAAAAATCAACACTGCAAGGCAGCATAAATAATAATGAAATTAAATAAAGGAAACCAACCCGCAAGATCCGAAACAGCGAGAGCGAAAGGGATAGAGCAGCAGAAACTCCGAGAGCGAAAGGGAAAGAGCAGCAAAAACAATGTGTATGACATAATAATCACGAGAGCAGGCCGCGAGCGCCGATTAGCAAGTCATGTGATTCGCTTTTATTTACATTTGCGCCTGACGTTGCCGCCGCCACCACCCGCTACTGCTCCCCGCTCCCCGCTCACCTATAAGCGTACGCCCACAGACCAAGCGAGCAAAAGAGAATCAGATAGAGAGTGAGAGAGACGGCGAGCACGGGGCGATAACAAGAGAGAGAGAGCAGACTGAATCGAAGGGGGCACGGGCACAGTTGTTTGCGCGCGCAACTCAATCGCCGGCGGGGTGGGGGAATAGAACATTGCTATCAGTATATTTGTTGTTGTTGCTGCCATGACTACCCAATGCACTGCTGGGGGTGGCATATAAGCCCCGGCTTGCATGGTATAGTGGAGCTTTCCTTAAGAATACACAGTAGAGTCTCTAGATATTGAATCCATTACCGGGAATACTTTATTTTGTGGATAAATGACAGCTCTTATCTCATTTAAAATGCTTTCACTGCATCAATAGAAATGCTGTTTGTTGCGGCTTCGGCCTACGTGACGTTCTCTAATGCACAGTGAATTTGTTTGTTGGGTTATCGGCCCCGTTTACGCTTGCCAATTTGCGTACGAATAAAGAGAAGAGGAAGCAACTGAGTGCAGGTAGGGGGAACGGAGCAAGAGAGGAAAGCGTGAAACGCATCATGAGAACGCCGAGTGTGTTGGCCTGTGTGTGTGTTTATTTGCAGCTGTCGTGTGATGACTGCGGCTGCACCTTTTGTTGTTCGCATTTATCGACTGCAAACTAATACCGGGTGTTAGGCATGACACACAAACACACACACGGTCCGAAAACCATTTTGGCGGGTGTGTTGTGTGTATGCATGCAAAGGTGGGAGGGGGTACATAGATAGGCAGATAAACACTTACCTTAGATAATTTCGCGAAGTTTGTTTTGTAGCTTTTGCGGACGACGAACTATTGCCGCTGCCAGCACAGGCAGAGGCATGTGCGGAGGCGGGGGAGGCGTGAGTTGTACGTGACGCCGACGCTGCCGGTAATGATGTTGTTGTTTGGCTATTAATTAGCGCTGCTGCGGTTTGTTGGGACGCGAACGCGGACGCCGCGTGCGTGGGTGCTGCGGCTGCCGCTACCGTTGATGGGGTTGCTGCTGCTGATGCCGACGGAAAGAACAGTTTATTCAATAAGGCCATAATAACATACAGTGCGCACAATCATTTAATAAACACATCTGGCCAATATCCTAACATCAATTTATGGGAAATCACTGTAAATCTTTCCACACACAAACCAGACACTTTTTTCACTCTTTCCTTGGAATGTGTCGGGTGCCGTTAGTTTTCCAACACGCGCGATATTGACGGAGAGAGAGCGAGAGAAAATGATGCTTGGCTGCCACAATTAAACTTTCGCTTTGCACTTTTCTTTGCATCTCTTTTACACTGCATACATATGTTTCTGTATGTATATATGATTGCTGCTGCTGATGCTGCTTCTTCTCTTTCTTTTGCCAAATGATCTCTTCCTGTAGTGGCCGAGTATTCACAGAAACACACTCACACACACTTGGTTATTTATTTGATTGAATGAATATTGCTATTTTTGCTTTGCGTTGCTTTTGCACTCTTCCTGAGCGGCGGAAATCGCTGCTCCACAGGTCTTTACCGTTCCACGCCGAAAAGATCAGTGAGACACCAAACAACGATCAGTGAGGCCCCAACGTTGGCGTCCGCTTTAAAAAGTTTGCAAGAGGCGCGTCGGTGTCGTTGTCAGAGCGTGTGTGTATAGGTGTGTGAGAGCGCAGACAGAGAGCGATTACGATGTGTGTGTGAGAATAACAGTTTCTGCTGCCGCTGGCGGGGGCTGCTATAACAACCAGTAAGATTTCCCTCCTGCTGACCATCATCTTGGCTTCTTTCCATTTTGCTAAAGCTGAAACAGCTTTGGCCAATACACAATTTTGTGTAGTTTTGTTTGTTCCTAATCATTGCACCCTCCACCCCGCGTCACTTAACACTTTCTGATGTTTGGTCGCTTGACACGAAACAAGGCATTGCTTTTTATCACCAACTGTAGTTGAACACTTTGTGGTTGACGTTGTCTATAAATTTAAAACTGTCACTGTTTAAATAAACGTATAAATATAGGCTAACATTTAGCTAATTTCACGCGAATTTTCTGTTTATTTACAATCTGTGTTACTGCGAATGTGACCACGAATTTATCGATCAAATATACCGCTCGACCCAAAAAAATATACACAAATAACCTTCTCATGTTCAAAAAATACCGTACAATTTAAATCATACTCCTCGCTTTTGCTATTCTAATTGATTTCACCAGCTAGTTAGTACTCTCTGCACAACAACTAAAATTTTATCCTAATTAAGAAACAGGTATCAACCAGACTAGCTGCTTTTCATGACTCTCTTTTGTGGGATATGATATGAAATTCATTAAATTACCGTAAATGGTCACCTTTTTGATATCAGATTAATTCATAAAACAGAATTTATACCTCAAATCAATTTCGACGTGGAAATATACCGAAGAGTATATAATATGCGGTCACCCTGTCGTAAAGTCGATTGCTGTGCGAACAGTGTGTGCACTCCATGCAAATATTATACTTTCGATTATGATTAATCAAATTTGAATTCAGTACACAAACAAGTATGAGAACTTTAATCTTTAAATTGTTGAACTTTATTTTTTGCTGGCTTACAATATACATAATTCAAAATGTTTTAGGCCCACATGCGAATGAAATGTGGGAAATTGGTTTTACATGAATAGAATTCACCATTTTGTTTAAATTCTTACAACTTTTTGTTTTCACTTCACTTAACCTTAAACTGGAACCGAGAGCGAAAGTAGAAAAAAACATTCAATTTCTTAAACTGTAGCGTGTTGTTGTTGTTTTAGTAGTTAAATATTCGTGTGTGTGTGTGTGGTTGTGTGTGTGTGTATGTTCCGCCTAGGAATTTCCGATATTTTTAACTTTTTTGAGAGATTTTGATCAAATAGTAGAACATACAGAGTACATACATATATTAACCATATACACGCATACATATACACATATGCATATATATTTACATATAATTAGTAGATGAGGCGACTTGTAGTCGCTCCACGCGGGGGAAGGGGGGTAGAGGCTTTTTCCTTTCGTTTCCATTTCATTTTTATAATTGTTGGGGGATTTTTCCTCTTTCTTTTCGTTTAACTGGTTGCATGTGTGTGTGTGTGCGCGAATATATATATGTGTTCGAGTGTGTGGCGTGTGTGTGTGTGTGTGAGAGAGAAGGGGGGAAAAATATATATAAGTCATGACAATATTTGGAGCGAAACGGGTGGAGAGGAGCGACTTTGAGCAATCCAAATCCAAGTCCGACCATCCCGTCTCCTACTCCTACTCCTTGTATGTGGAAGTATCCATGGGGCTGGCCGGCTGAATGAAGGCCGTGGCCGAAGCACTTGGCTGATTGGTGGGCGTAAAGGCCGACAGCGAGGAGTTGCTGCTGCTGTTGACCAAATTGCCGCCGGACGAGTTGTTCAAGCTGATGTTCATCAAATTGGACGACGAGGACGAGGCACTGGACGCACCGCCCGCCAGCTGATTGTTCAACGAGAGCAAGCCCCCGCCGCCTGCGAGGAAGGTGGAGCTGCCACCCGACGACTGGGCGCCCAAGCTCAAGCGTTCGCTGTTCGAGAGAAAGCCGCCAGCAGCATTCCCGGCCGATGCATTGGGCCCCAGCATGCCAATCAGCGGATTTGTGGTGGTCAGCACATTCGGTGCGGAAGTGTTCAGGCCCAGCATGGGCGTTGGCAGTGCTGGCTTGATGAAGCGCTCGCTGGCCCTTCGATTCTGGTAGGGAAAAAGGAGAAACAAAGAGTCAGGAAACTCCACTTTGAGCTGTGATGTTCGTTCTGCCACTTACCACTAGCTGGCCGCAGGCATAGCAACGATTCTGGCCCGCTGTGCCCGGACTGAGGGGACGACTGCTCGAGGGGCTGTGGGAGACGGGACTGCTGATGGTGCGCTGTCGCTGAGCATTCACCGCCGAGGCCGCGGAGTTGCCGGCCATCAGGCTCTCGTTGTAGAAGCGCTCCTCATCCATTTCGAGCGAGGACTCGGACTCGGAGAGATGCCGGCAGAGTGCCTCGCGGCGCTCCACCTCCTGCTTGAGCTTGCGCTGGAGCCGGGCGTTCTCCTCGCGTATGGACTTCTCCTCCTGGGCAAATTGTTGCATTTTGATTGTGGTCTCCTTTTGGGCGGCAGCGAAATTGGCGCGCAGACGCAACACCTCCGAGCGCAGCGCCTGGATGTGGGAACTCAGATGGGTGGCGGTGTCGCCGCCATTGGCATTGATGGTGATATCACGTGGTGTGGTCGGATCGGACACGGGCTGATCGAGCTTGATCTGCAGCGAGCGCTTCTCGGTCTCCAGCTTGTCCATGCGCTTCCACAGCTTGTTGACCAGCGCCTCCTGCTCCTGCTCGAGTGTGTTCTCCAGCTCGACCATTTCGCGGCGCAGCTGCTCGAGGTTTGTCTGCTTGTTGTCCGTCTCCGCTTGCAGCTTCTCGATCTTGCGCATCAGCTTGTTGACGAGGCACTCCTGCTCCTGCTCCAGGGTCTGCTCCAGCTTGCATTTCTCCTGGCGCAGCTGGTCCAGTTTGCGCGACAAATCGTTGGTGAGGCACTCCTCCTCGCGCTCGTAGTGATGGGCGAGCGTTTCCTTTTCCTTCTTCAGAGCTTGAATCTTCTTCAGCAGCGTATTTGAGATGTACTCCTCCTCCTGCTCGGCTTTGGCTTGCTGCGGGGACACAAAACGTTAGCACAAATGTGCAACACATTCAAGGGCAGTCTCAGATACTCACAATTATGACCGAGGCTTGCTTCAGGCATCGATTCTCCTCCTGCACCACTTTGCACTTGGTCTTGAACGTGTCAAGTTCCGCTTTCAGCACTCTAAAGCAAGGGAAACCCATCAGTAATCAGAGTGGGATTTGTGTTGCGTTTTACTCACTTGTTCTGTTGGGTGAGCGATTCGATGCGCTTTTGTAGTTGCTCCCGCGAGACTGGGCTGGGCGGCAGCATGGTGCCGCCATCCAGCGAGCTCTCCGACTCACAAGGACTCTCCATTGCTGCTACAAATAGAGAACTGACCAGCCAGGGGCCAGCACTGACGTCAGAAGTGGTGGTGGCAGTGTCTACCGTTCGAAACTCATTTAAAAATTAAGCATATGCAATTACAAGAAATAATATATGCGTTTTATTCAGTTCAGTTTCTGTTTCTGTTTCTTTTTTGCTATATATTTCGCGTTTGTTCTTTATTCTCCGCCGTCGTCGGACGCCGTTGTGGTCGCTGTGGGGGCAAAACAAAGAACTCGGGGACAACGCTGCTGCTGCCACTGCCTCTGGCCGTGTTGGCCCTGATCGAAAATTGTGTTTAACCTTCACTTGTGATTTGTGCATCTGCTGTGCGGATTTGCTGCCTCTCTTGATGCAACATTTCGGAAATCGATAGAAGGGCAAGGTCGGGCCATAGTTCAGGGCAGCGCTGCAAGCGACGAGACTTTGTGGCAGCATGTGGGGCAGCCTACGGCGTACCCCAACTGCTACTCCCCTACAACCCATGCGACGCCGGCAGCAAACCAACACGAAAAAAAAAGAAAGAAGAAAAAAGATCCTACCCCTATCTACGCGCTTTCGCTTTTATTTTGGATCGCACCGCTACGTTCGAGTCTATATTTGTTTTTTTTTTATTACCTGGCTTTTGTTGGGCGCTGGTGACGCCGTTGCTTTGCTTTGCCTTAAAAGACTTATGCCGTCTTTGCCCCCCTCCTGCTTGCTTGTACTTCTACTGCTCTGCTACTGCCGACTGCTGCCTGCTATTCGTGGAGCCAGGCGTTATTTGCGGCTTTCACTGGGTGCTCAAGCTAATTTGTACCTTTTCTTTCCACGGAATTGGAGCCGCGCTTATCTTGCACTGAACATTTTGCCGAATGGAAAATAAATTTTTTTTTTGATTAAAATTGCGAAAAACACAGTGATGTGACCGTTTGCGTGACACTAAGTGTGACCGTGGGCTTGTCGATCAAATATACTACATTAGCATACAAAATATACTGATATAAGTCTTCCTTTTTCAATATATAGTGTAAATCCTATATAATTTTCTGACATTTTTATTTCTGATTAATATTACCAGATAGTTAGAACTCAGAACTAAAACTATAATTTAATTCGGTTCGTCAATTTATTCTCCACAAGATTGACAAGTTATCAGGATCCTTTTTTTTTGATTGCTTGCAAAATAACGTTCTTACTAAAGAGGTAAATGCAAACAAATTGGCGTAAAACGTAAGCATGTAACGTAAAAGGGTAAATTATTGACTACTTGTTGCTTGTCCACCGAGATGACTTTTACTACAATATTGCCATTAATTAATGTTTTTCAAGCTCCTCTGTTCTGGTGAAAGATGATGGATCTACAATAAGAATTCTCAAACAATATTAGTTTCAGCGACAGAACTTGTTTAAATATAGGGGGGTTAAATGGGCTAAGCCTTAGTATATTTACGGTATATTTTGAAAACGATAATGTATATTTCGGTATATTTGTGAGGCTCACTGAATATACAACACGTGCAGCGCGTAAACAGCAAATAATTAAATTTTCTTTAGTTTTCCTCCGCTTTAACAATGGCCGACGATGCCGGCCAGGATAAGCGCAAGCAGCACCGCGCCCGCCAATCCGGCGTGAAGGCGGACAAGAAGAAGGAGAAGGTCAAACGCGACTCAAATCAAAAGGAGCCCGAGCTGACGGCCAGGCAGCGGAATCCGAAAGCGTTTGCCATCAATTCAGCGCAACGTGCAGAGCGTAACTTTCGACGCAAGGAAGATCTAACAGCCAAGAAGCAGCACATACCGGTGGTGGACCAGACGCCCGATGAGCCGCCGCCAGTGCTGATTGCAGTCGTAGGACCCCCAAAGGTGGGCAAGACGACGCTGATCAAGGACCTGATCAAGACCTTCACACGCACCAATGTTACAGAGATCAAGGGTGCCATCACCATTGTGACCTCGAAGAAGCGTCGCATCACACTGCTGGAGTGCAACAACGACGTCAACTCGATGATCGATGTGGCCAAGTGCGCGGATCTGGTGCTGCTGCTCTGCGACGCCAGCTACGGCTTCGAAATGGAGATCTTCGAGTTCCTGAACATCTGCCAGGTGCACGGCATGCCCAAGATCATGGGCGTGCTCACCCACCTGGACATGATCAAGAATCCCAAGCAGCTGCGCAAGCGCAAGAAGGAGCTGAAGCATCGCTTCTGGACGGAGGTGTACGACGGAGCGAAGCTCTTCTATCTCTCCGGCCTGCTGCACGGCGAGTACTTGCGAAACGAGATCAAGAATCTGGGCCGTTTCATATCCGTGATGAAATTCCGACCGCTGCAGTGGCGCGGCGCCCACAGCTATCTGCTGGTGGACCGCATGGAGGATGTCACCAACACGGACCAGGTGCGCCGCAATCCCAAATGCGATCGCGAGGTGGTGCTCTATGGCTATGTGCGCGGTGTGCCGCTCAAGCAGGAGCACATGGTGCACATTGCCGGCCTGGGGGATGCGCGCATCGATGAGCTGAGCGTGATACCCGATCCCTGCCCACTGCCGGGCACCGAGAAGAAGCGCAGTCTGCTGGAGAAGGAGCGTCTGCTCTATGCACCCATGTCCGGTGTGGGTGGCATTGTCTACGACAAGGATGCCGTCTACATTGAGCTGCAGGGCTCGCATTCGCACTCGCACAAGGAGAAGACAGCCGAGGCCACCGAGCAGGAGGAGCTGGTCAACAGGCTGATCGACAAGAAGGCCACCATGGACCAGCAGATGGAGCAGCAGGAGTTCCGACTCTTCTCCGATGGTGCGCCCATCAAGTCGAAGGATTTCCGCAGCGATGATGAGGCGGCGCAGAGCAGCGAAGACGAGGACGATGATGAGGGTGACGATTCCGGCCTGGAGGCAGCTGCTTCGGATGATGAGCAGGAGGAGCAGGAGGAAGAGTTTGACGCCAATGACTGGCGCGGCGAGAACAGCGACGATGATGAGGATTCTGATGCGCAGGCAGCGGACAGTGACGATGGCTCCTCGGGCGATGAAGAGTATCAAAGTTTGGGCGCTGCACCTGCTGGCTCGGGCTCCGAGTCCGATGCGGAGGAGGACGACGAGGAGGCACGCGTGCTGGCCAGCAACATGAGCTGGAAAACGAATCTGGCGCAAAAGGCACGCGATGCCTTCCTGCAGCGTCACTCGGAGTCCAAGAATCTGATGCGCCTCGTCTATGGTGGCTACAACCAGAGCGAGAGGAGCAGAGAGGACCAGCAGGAGCAGGAGTATGCCAACGACTCGGACGAAGAGCTGGGCGGCCTGTTCCGTGTGGCGGCCAAGAAGCAAAGCGAGCAGCTCAAGGACAAGGACATACGGGACAAGGAGGAGCGCTGCTTCTTCGAGTATCAGGGTGGTAAGAGATTGACACTCTACAGAGCAGGATTGGCAACTAATCTAATCTCTAATCTAATCTAATCTCTAATCTAATCTATCCATTTTCAGGTGCCACACGGGACTGGCTGAGCGAGGAGAACAAGCCGCTGATCAAGAACTGCTTTGTGACGGGTAAATGGAAGGCCTCCGAGGATGCAGAGAATCTGCTGAAGATGGACGACATGAGCGATGCGGAAAGCGAGGTTTATGGCGACTTTGAGGATTTGGAAACTGGCGAACAGCACAGCGGCAAGCCCAAGCCAGAGAAGGCAGACGACTCAGACAGCGAGGAAGCCAAGCCAGAGGAGGCTGCAGCCAGCGGCAAGCGAAAGATGACCCGCGTGGAGGAGGAGAACCTCACCAAGGCCGATCTGATGGCCAAGAAACTCAAGCTAAAGGCGAAATTCGATGCAGAGTACGACAACACGGGGGAGAAGGGCGGCGAGGAGGACACTGGCCGCATCACCGGTGATCACTCCTTCTACGAGGACCTCAAGGCGGAGGCCCAGAAACAGAGCGAACTCAACAAGACCGAATTTGCGCATTTGGACAACGAGTTTCGCATTCAAATCGAGGGCTATCGGCCTGGAATGTATGTCCGACTGGGCTTTAAGACGATTCCAGCGGAATTTGTGGAGAACTTCGATGCCAGCTACCCGGTGCTGGTGGGCGCCCTCAACATGACCGAGGAGAACGTGGGCTACGTCAACTGCAAGGTGAAGAAGCATCGCTGGTACAAGAAGATCCTCAAGACGGGCGATCCCCTGATCGTTTCGATGGGCTGGCGGCGCTTCCAGACGGTCGCCATTTACGCCAAGGTGGAGGATAACTTTCGGCATCGCTACCTGAAGTACACGCCGAATCATGTGACCTGCAGCATGACGTTCTGGGGTCCAATTACGCCACAGAATACGGGCTTCCTCGCCCTGCAGACGGTGCGTCAGGATCAGGATGAGATGAAGCGGCTGGGCTTCAGGATTGCGGCCACGGGCTGTGTCACTGAGCTGGACAAGTCATCGCAGATCATGAAGAAGCTCAAGCTGGTGGGGCATCCGTTCAAGATCTTCAAGAAGACCGCATTTGTCAAGGACATGTTCAACTCGTCGCTGGAGGTGGCCAAATTTGAGGGAGCCAAAATCAAGACGGTGTCCGGCATACGCGGACAAATCAAGAAGGCGCACCACACGCCTGAGGGCTCCTATCGCGCCACCTTCGAGGACAAGATTCTGCTGAGTGACATTGTCTTTTGCCGCACCTGGTTCCGGGTGGATGTGCCACGGTTCTATGCGCCCGTCACGTCGCTGCTGCTGCCGCCGGAGCAGAAGAGCCACTGGCAGGGCATGAAGACTCTGGGAACACTCAAACGGGAGCGTGCGCTGCAGAGCGAGGCTCAGCCGGACAGCATGTACAAGGAGATCGAACGCAAGGAGAAGATCTTCCGTCCCCTGACCATACCCAAGGCGCTGCAGCGGGCACTGCCCTACAAGGACAAGCCCAAGATGGCGCCGGAGCATGCCAAAAAGTCACTGGAACGTGTGGCGGTCATCAACTCGCCGTACGAGCAGAAGGTGGCCAAAATGATGAAGATGATCACCACCAACTACAAGGACAAAAAGAATCGGGATCGCCTGGAGACGAGGCAGCGCATGCAGAAGTTCCGCGAGAAGAAAAAGTCCGAGGAGGCATCCAAGATGAAGCGCCAGAAGGAGCTGCGCAAAAAGGTTTCCCGTGCCATCAGCAAAGTGCGCGGCAAGCAGACGAAATGAGTAACAGATGGATAGATGTACAATAAATGAAATAAAAGAAGGAACGAAGCGGAATTCTTGCTCACAATTTACATGTCTCCGACTGAGGCAGCTGCAGCAGCCGATGTGTGTGTGTGTTTGTGGTGTGTTTGTTTGTTTGTTGCTCTGCACCGCGCTGGCTGCTGCAGCTGCACCAGCGGCTTGCGTTATGCAATAATTTAATAATAACTTAAGGCCCAGTTGGGCAGCTTAACTAAAACTGTAAACGAAAAGGAACGGCCCCAGCCGTGTGATTGTGTTTGCCCCAGCCAGTGTAGATTCTGCTTGACTCTTCCTAGTCTTGAGATTTGTTATTGTCGATGTGCTTGAGCGTGGCGAGCAGGGCATGCTTGCGACCGGGGTCCATGGGTGCTGGAGTGACGCCTGTGGCCTTGCTGTTGCGTTTCTTTAGCTGTGGAACGTCCGAGGCCGGGCGGCAGAAGGTCTTCAGGAAACTCTCTCGATCCTCGAACTCATCGGACATCTGTTTGCGCAGGCTGGACATGCTCTCCTTCACGCGTGTTCCATGACGTGCACTTGACTAAAGAATTGGGGATACGTTTAAGAACTAGCTAAAAGGAAGAGTGTGTCGCCATGCTCACATCTTCATCACTGTTAAGCGAGGTCTTGCCCTCGACGTAGTCATCCTCTTCCAGCATATCGTCCAGCATGGCGTCGGGCAGCTCTTTCGGGTCCAAGTACGAGCCGTACTGCAGCAGACTTATCTCATTGGCATTCTCCTCAGCATCGTGTTCGGCATCATCGTCGTCTGCTGCACATATCTTGGACATCATGGCATAGGTATCCTCCTCCTCGTGCACCTCCAAAGCGTGCTCAAAATCATCATCATAATCGAAATCCAAGGACTTCAATGGCGACTGTTTGCCCTTGTGCGGCCGTCCCTCGGCAGACGATAGCTTGGACATGAGGCCAGCCTGCTCACGTCGCTTCAGGGCTGATCCGCCCGCATTGACTCCCGTGCCTACGCCCGCACCCGCTCGCAAACGACTGTTTGATGGCTTGCCCGTCAGTGGGGACTTTCTCTGCGCCGACACCAGATGGCTGAGGGTGGAGCGCGTGCTGGTGGTGGCGGCCAGCTTGGATGGGCTCGTGGCTGGCGGCAGTGTCAGCTTGGATAACCCAGCGCCAGCTCTGGGACGTGCACCAGGAATCTTGCTCTGCTGCAACTTGGAGGGCGTCACCGGCGCACTCTTGGGGACCAGCTCTTGGTCATCCTTCTCAAAGTCGTACAGCGAATCCGACTCTAGGACATCCGTGAGGGCATGGTATTCGCTGTGGTTATTCTTTTCAATGGCCATGTCCAGCAGCTCCAGCGATTTCTCCAGCTTGTCAATCTTGTCTGGCTCCTGGGCGACGCCACTCAGCTTGCTGCGACGCCCAGAGGACATGGCATTGATCTTGTCAGTGCCGAGCTGTGTGCGCGCAACAAATGAGACAGAGAACTATGGAAATGCAACAGCGGTGGACTCACTGTGTACTCTTCCAGCTTGCGGTAGCCACTGATCTCCAGCTTGGACTTTTCCAGCTTCAGCATCATTTCCTTGCACTTTTTCTGCTCGTTGAGCAGCTGCTGGCGGAAGTTCTTCGACTCCAGCTGCACCTTGCGCGCCATTAGCTTTATGTCGTTGTCCTTTTCCTCTATGCGCTGCTCCAGGAAGCGCACCTTCTCCTGCAGCTTCTGGCGTTCATCGAGGTTCCTGCCAGAGAGAGGGAGAGATAAATCGAAGCCGACTTGAAGTGGAGCTCCTCCACTCCTACCTGTCCTTGTTGAGCTGGCTGTAGTGCTTGTTCTGGTCACTCAACGTCAGTATCAGCGCCTCCTTTTGCTTGAGCTTCTGCTCCAGATCCTTGTTGATGGCCTGCAGATTGCGATGCTTGGTCTGCCAGACGCGCAGCTCCTCCGCATGCGAGTGCAGCAGCTGCGGCAGCTCCGCATTGTTCGACTCGTATTTGTTCAACGCCGACGTCTGCCGCTTGTGCAGCGTGCGCAGCATGCGATTTTCATGCGCCAGATTGGCAATCTCTGCGTGGGCGTCGGTCAACTGATTCTGGAACGTCTTTACGCGCAAGTTCCGCGCGGACATCACTCGCTGGTGGATCTCACTGTGGTTTTGCGGCCGCATGCTGGTATTGCTGGACTTCTTCAAGCCGACGCGTGGTGTGGGCTTGCTCTGGTAGATGAGGCTGGCCGACTCCCGGGAGCTGGCCGAGAACAGGCTCTCGCAGCTCTTGGCGGACGAGCTGCAGAATGGAAAGGCGTGTGCAGTGTGGAGGAAAGTGAAGTGCAGTCTCTACTCACGCCATCAGTTTGTGTTGGGGTTGCCGGCGTGCTGGATGAACCGAATATGCCGGCTTACGCGGCGATACCATTTAATGCTTTTGCAGCACACTCTGTGGAGTTGACTATCGGCTGTAAGAATATATATAAAATGCTATAATATTATATATTTTGTGTGTAGTTGGAAAGCCGGTGCCAGGCAAAAGCAATGTTGAAATGTTTCAGAAAACTGAACGGCTGCTGCTGTGGTTACGACTTGAATTTTTGTTTATTGTTTGCTTCGTGTATCGGTCTCGAGTCCCTAAACGAACCTGTCCTGGGGGTTCTTGAAAGTGGTTGCCATGGCAAGGAAATCAAAGGTTGGTTGCCTATCGATGCACAAACGGAGCATTCTATCAAAGCAGATTCCCAGTATCATATTTTTACACTTTTAAGTTTCACAGATTTGCTTTATTTTCTGTTTTTCAATAATGTTCAATACATTTCCGTTATGTTTGCATGCAGCCGTGATGCCAACTCGTTAAAATACCAAGCAATTGCCACCATTCCCAGCCAGTTGGCAGCTCCAGCGTATCGGAGGCGCTTTCTTTTTCAATGAAATTTTCTTTCAATGCATTGCTCCATTTATCCGAGACTCAAGTGAAATCAATCAATGCAATTACTCGCATCCGGAAGTATTACGGCACATGCAACGTGCCCGCATTGAAGTGAGTGCCCGTAGATTGCATCACCACCCGAAAAATGCCAATAAAGTGAACATCTGTGTCGTGATTCTCTTTATAGTAGGCCCGAAACGAAAAATTGGCTCTTGCTCGTAGGCGTCGCGGCCCCCACAAGGACGCAGACAGACAGATTGAGCACAAGCGCATTTAGGGCAACCATCTGACGTCATTGTGCGGAAAATTCACTAGCGAAAATGATCCACGTCGGGGAAAACTCATGGAATCTGCGCATTTTCATCACGGATCTGTCGCTGGAGCGCACAATGCGCGTGCGCGGGGATCAGCACATCGGTGGCATAATGCTGCAGCTGGTGGATCCCGAGAATCCTAAGGATTGGTCCGACCATGCCCTGTGGTGGCCAGCCAGAAACATTTGGCTCAACCGGACACGCGCCACGCTCGACCAGTGCGGCGTCCAGGCCGACAGCCTGCTGCACTTCACGCCAATGCACAAGATACTGCGGGTGCAGCTGCCGGATCTGCGGTACTTGGACTGCCGCGTCGACTATTCCGTGAAAACCTTTGCCGCTGTGGTTAATCTCTGCAAGCAGCTGGAGATACGCTACCCGGAGGAGCTGTCCCTCTGCAAGCCCCTGGAGGCGGAGCATCTGAAGAAGAACTTTGCCCAAGTGGCGCATCAGAAGCGAGTGCCCATCGCAGAGCCCGATGGCACCACATATCTGCATCCTGCTGCGGACACCAATTCGTTTGTGCCCATCAATGCTGCCTTCCATGGCGATGGCGGAAGCACTGGCAGCCTGGACAAGCCCTCCGCACCGGGCATGTTCTTCTGCGCCCCGCTCTCGCCGCACAATCACAGCCGACGCTCGCCCATGGCATCATCGCCAGCACCATCGCCGGGAACATGGAAGCAGAGCCAGCTGGGCTATGCCACCTACGATTCTTCCTCCTCCAGCTTGGGGGATTTCCAGGAGAACTTGGCCAGCTCTCCACCAACACCGTGTGCCGATGTGCGCGCCCAGTTGCTGCGCCCCAAGTCGCTGGTGGAGAAGGCGCGCCTCAATGTCGGCTGGCTGGACTCTTCGCTGTCCATCATGGAGCAGGGCATACGGGAGTACGACACGCTGCGCCTGCGCTTCAAGTACTTCACGTTCTTCGATCTGAATCCCAAGTACGATCAGGTGCGCATCAACCAGCTGTACGAGCAGGCCAAGTGGAGCATTCTGAACGAGGAGCTGGACTGCACCGAGGAGGAGAGCCTGATGTTTGCCGCCCTGCAGTTTCAGGTGAATCATCACGTGGATGCGCTGCCCACGAGCGCCGTAGACTCGGGCATTGAAACCTCCAGCCAGGAGAACGATGACGATGAGATAGATTCGGCCTTAAAGGAGCTGCAGATCACGCTGGAGGGTCCCAATGCCGGTGGCGATGCTGGAAATATCACACGCATACCGGAGCTGTCGGACTATTTGCGTTACCTGAAGCCACAACGCTTCACGCTGAGGGGCTTCAAGCGCTACTTCTTCACCTACCGCGATCTGCACTTGCATTTGTACAAGAGTGCCGAGGACTCACGTCGCCAGGCGCCAGCCATCAGCATCAATTTGAAGGGCTGCGAGGTCACGCCGGACGTCAACCTTTCGCAGGGCAAGTATGCCATTCGACTGGAGGTCTCCCCGGAGGGCAGAAACGGACCCAACAGTGAGGTGTGGGTGCGTTGCGAGAACGAGCAGCAGTATGCCAAATGGATGGCTGCCTGCCGCCTGGCGGCCAAGGGCCGTTCCCTGGCCGACAGCTCCTACGAGAGTGAGGTCGACAGCATTCTCTCGCTGCTGCAGATGCAGCGGCCAGTGCATGGTGTGCATGTCAACATTGATCCGAGGTCCGTCGAGCCGGTGGACTATCTGTCGCCCAAAATGAATCGCAAGCTGTCGGGCAAGGCGGTGCAGCGCATACTGGAGGCTCATGCCAATGTGCGGGAGCTAAATCTGCTCGAGTCGAAGCTGAAGTACATTCAAGCCTGGCAGTCGCTGCCGGACTTTGGCGTCACTTTGTTCATCATCAAGTTCGATGGCCACAAGAAGGAGGAGCTGCTGGGCGTGGCCCAGAATAGGATCATGCGCATGGACCTGAGCTCTGGGGATCACATCAAGACCTGGCGCTACAACAACATGAAGGCCTGGAATGTCAATTGGAACATCAAGTGCATGATGATTCAGTTCCAGGACGAGAATGTCGTCTTCTCCTGCCACTCGGCGGACTGCAAGGTTGTCCATGAGTTCATTGGCGGCTACATCTTCATGTCGATGCGTTCCAAGGACAACAACCAAACCCTGAATGAGGAACTCTTCCACAAACTAACTGGCGGTTGGTCATAGACGCGTGTTCATTGTTCGCCGATTTTGTTTGCTTTTTTTCGGAGGAAAAGCAAACTATTTAAATTGTTGTCAAGTGGCCATATGGTGTGCCCTATTTTAAACGTTTAAGCTACCTTCGGTCCGCGCCTAACCAACTGATAGACTCACAACTTCAATGCAATAATTGTATGTACGATTTTTCTTAATGTTTAATTCGTTTGTAAACTAATCTTGTTGAATCGCTTGCCAAAGGCCCTTTTGCCTTCCTAACTTTAAACAGACTAAACCGTGGCCTTAGCAATGTTTTTGTATAACTAACTTTTAAGTAATAAAACCTTACAATTTTAAAATATAATTCTCAATGGATTTTCGAATTTTGGTTTGGATTACTTGTGCTGTCAGACTTGCAATATTCGTGTAGTAGTGTGGCGCCATCTTTTGCAGAGTTTGCGAAGTGCGGAATTTGCCGTTCTTGTGAACCATTTAAGGTATATTTTCCGGTTGACCTTGTTAGCTTGCTCCTTATTTTGTAAGCAATCCAATAAAAAAAATAGCTTGATAACTAGCCAATCTTGTGAAGTATTGAATGACGATTCCGGTAAAATTATATTTTTATAGCTAAAAATCCAAACTAGCTGTTAATATTAAACATAAGATCAAAGTCGAGCAAAATGATTTTAGACTTACAGTATACTGCGGTATTTTTGAAAATAAATTGGTATATTTAGGTATATTATTGACGGTGGTGTTTGATCGATAAATCAACCGCGGAAACGAAATTTGCCCGGTCAAAAAAAATAGATTTTTCCTCTATATACTATAGTTCTGACACTTTTTACTAAATTAGCAGTTTTTTTATTTATTCGTTTTAATGTTTAAATGTGCTTGCTGTGGCCCTGAGGTTCCATGAGCACACAATCCGAAGAGAAGCAAATGACGCGTTCGGCCTACGATGTGCAACGGGACTTTGGGCTAAGTAGCGGCCTGCGCTCGGAAATAATTTGGGACTCGTACGCACATAAATTATGCAATTAACTAAATTACTCATGCTCTACCTTCCCCACAGACTTGCCCCAGATCAGGCGGAAGTGCTGAAACAAAAGATCGAAAATCTGATATTGGAGAATGAGGCAAGAAACGGGCGCACGGTGGCTAAGCAGCGCGAGCAACTGTTCCGGAATGTGTGGCTACAGCGTAAGTACACGAACCGCACTCTGCTCTCGGCCATTATCTACGTGCTGGTCACGCCCGAAATGGATGCCGAGCTGGCCGTGCAGTCCACCAGCTTCAGCTGCCACCCAGTCTTTCGCACCCGCAAATGCATGAAGGGCGAGAACAGCGAGGACTGCTGCATGATATTCATCGACGAGCACGGCCGGGTGTATGCCAATTGGGAGAAGTATGTCTTCGGAAATACCCTGCCAAAGGGCATGATGATAGCTCCAAGTCGCGGCATTTACACCTTCACCAACGACGAGGACGCCGGAGTTCAGTTAATGGTGCATCCCACGCCAGCGACAGGTGTGCGGCAGAGAGTCCTGAATGTCGGCGACAAGTTGGCCACTGTTGGCAGCCTTGTGGCGAGTGTGCCCGTAGCTGCCGCCTTGGCTGTGCCCGTAGGCGGACCCATCATTGTGGCCGCCACTGCTGTGGGCATTGCAACGGCAGCGTACAGCACCCTGCGCTCGGCCAACCGCCTCTACGATCGTGTCTGTCACGGACAGTCCACTTCCATCAAGGACAGCGAAGCACGAGGCCAATGGCTAGGCGTGGCTGGAGGTGTGGTTGGCCTAGGAGCCACCGGAGCAACCAGACTACTGTCTCGAGTAACCGCAGCGGGCATCGAAGTGAACTGTGCCGCTCAGTTCGCCGTGAAGGGCATCAATGTGTCGTCTGTTGTCATATCCGGCACGGGTGTGGCCAACGGTGTGTACGATTTGTATTTGGTGAGTATCTGACAGCTTTCATTGGACAATCGAGGGCAGTTTGCTTTTCCTCTTGGCAGAAAGTGGGCGACGATCAGGCCCTGTCGAAGCTGGATATATTGCAGATTGCCTCCAGCCTTGTGATATTCACGCACTCTCTCAACAATCTCCGCATAGCTTCCAAGGTGAGCAATAGATCGACTTTGATGCGTGCGCTGCGCAATCAAACCAGGTAAGAAGAACCTAACCCACATTCTCATTGGAGGATAGAGTAACAGAGTTTGTTTCCCCCTGCAGAAGAGTCGTCCGGCAAATCTCGCAAGAGTCCATAAAGCTGCATAGCGGCTCCAGCGCTGGCAAGTTCGACATTGTGCGCACCTTCAACGATATACCCTTCAGGGAGGCGCTGCTTAGCCTGCACAAAATCAATTCACATCTCGCACAAGGCGCCTCCATGGTGGGTGCCCTGGGCGCCACTGTGCTGCCCAATATTGTGAGCCTCGGCAGTGGCGGACAGCTGCGCCTGAATGTGGAAATGCTGGCCACCCAATTTGGCAGCAAGTTTGTGGAGCACATCTGCAGTCTGGGCAACTTCACGGACGTGCTGGACGCTCTGGCCCGGTACTTTAGCGATAAGGCGGTGCAACTCTTCATCGATATGACGCGCACCTTTGTGGAACAGAATATCGACTCCATAGACCGCAACCTACACACATTCGTATCCACGGAGACGGTGCTCTATCGCATATTAATGCATTGCGTGCATACCTACGATGATTTTGCTGTGGAGTTCCTTGAGCGCCAGCGCAAGGACATCATGGAAGTGGTCTCCAAGTACTTCAAGTCCCTGCAGCCTCTCGACGTGGGCAACTGCAGCAAATACATGTGTGCTGTGTGCAAGGGCACGTACTACATAAGTCCCTTGTGAGTCCGTAACGTCTGTCTGTTAAATGGAAATGTGATCATATCAATAGATTTAAGCCCTGTACCAGTGCCTTGTGAGATTCTATTAACTGTACTAAGATTTCTATGTATTTCTTTTCTTTATTTTGGGTTACATTTGCCCGTCTTAACAACTAAATATTAATCTATCTAAATGTATAAATACTGTGGCAAGATTTGTGATCCCATCCAAGGGGGGGGAACAAATAAGGTACCGGACTCTATAAGAGTGAGCGCGTCTTGTAGTCATGTGTGTGTGTGTGTGTGTGTGTAGAAGCTAAACTAATCTATGGACGGATGTACTAGCGAAGTGTTGTTCTAACAGAAGAACTCCTCGTCGCAGTGGTTGAAGCAGCAGTAGGGTATGTTATTGTAACTGGTGCTGGAATGATCCCGCTTGAAGCGCCCCTTCTTGTCGTGATGTACCTTCTTGGGCTTGTAACGTGGCACCACATCCAGGTCGCTGAGGCGGCGGAAATGTTCCCGATTTACTTTCAGATAGCCACCCGTGGGATAGCTACTCCGGCTGAGGAAATGATGCTTGTCGGACAGCTTGCCGTCTGTAGAGAGTAAACAAAAAATGGGAAACGTTGTGTGAGCAAAAGGCAATCTTGAACTTGCGCCTTGAAAACGGTTAAGTTTGGCATCGGAACTGCTTTATGCAAATGCCCCCGAGCATTGCCGACAGGCCGTCTACAATTTGTAAACGTGTTTTCTTGCCAGTTCCGAATGCAATTGTCGGGTTGAGTGACTCTCTGACCTTATTCAGTCAATAATCTGATTTCAATACTTACATCCCAGGCGATTTAGATGGTGATGGCTGTACTCTATGGACCGCTTGTCCCGCCTTCCAGCCTCGTCCTGCTGGAACAGATGCTCGCAGGCCTCCATCGCGAATTTCTTCATTTTCTCCAGGGAGCAATAGTTGCCCGAAGACTCATTCAGCAGACAGAACACGCCCAGCACCAGCAGCGTGCAGCGGCACAGATTGAACTGCAAGGGAGAAGAAAAAATACACCTTTGAGTGTTTGTTTCAAAATTAAAACCCAACCGGCCTCCGCCGCCTAAATATAACTCGAATGACGCTGCAGCTCCAGCCGCTCGAAAGTTTTTTGTTACTTATGTAAGTGTTACAACGTTCTTAACCGGCTGCCTTGCCATCTGTATCTCTGGATCAGGGATCGGAGACCGCAGCTGATGCCAGCTGGGATGTGGTGACGTCTCCCCTGCGAGGGCTTATGCGGCCCCATAAAGTGGGTCAAAAGCTCGACTCGCGATACCCAAAACATAAACTGGAGCGCATTTGCAAGTCGTCTCAGCCAAATGGTAAATTTTAATTGTCGCTTTTAATGACCGAAACTTCCCCGATATTACAAAGAGATGAAATGGAAATTATGTAATACGTACGCCTCCCCGCAGGTAGGCATTTCCGCATTTTGCGGTGACAATTTCAGTTCATCACAATCGGAATCGTCTGGCGCATTATGCTTGGTGGAGGCCCCCCTGTGGGAGGGGCAGAACAAAAGCGCATTCGCGAATTTCTGTTATTTTTAGCTGAATTATTAACACATTTTGCTGCACACACCCACTCTTACTCGATAATTTGTAATTAATTTCCCGATTTGGAAAAATGTAGAGACTCAAACTGAAGGATTTATAACTAATGCAACACAAATCTATTCTTGCTCTTAGTTGTTCCCATTTCTTGTGCTAATTTCACTCACCTTTGCATTCATGATTTGTTGTTTTATTAATGGATAATCCTTTTCTAGTAGATCACAACCCTTTGGGTGTCACACTACGTATACGTATTATTGGTCGTGCACAATGAAATGATCGCACAACGAACGTTTTTTTGTTACTGGCGTGTTCTCTGATCGTACAAAACCCGACCACCGACCGTCACCTGATAAGCAGCGAGCACACAATGAAAGCACGACCCGAAGCCGCTTAGCTTATATACGCCGCCATGTAAATCGAGGACGACTGAGCGCAGCTTCGGGGGCTCAGGTTCTCGGCGCTGCTCTTGAGTAAGGGTGAGGTGAGAGTAAGAGCAGCTGCCCATGCGCACTCGGATGCGCTCTTTACCGTTTTCCAGTCTTTCGTTTTGCGTAAGCGTCAAAGGCGGCGCCGCCTATTCACAAAATTGATTTTGGGTTTTTTTTGCTTGCTTTTTATTTCTTTGGCTTTTTTTTAATGAATGAAGGATGCACGAAACGAACGTCAGACGGCGCTTGGTGGATCTGCATTAAATTAGTCGTTTTTTTAGGAGCCGCCTCCTCCATCGCTGATCATCAATGCCCCACTGATTCAGCATTTATTTTATTTCAACATAATTCGATGCCCACCATGGCTGAGTCATATATTTGTGTATGTGGCATGTTTGGTCACATGCTGATAAAGATGTAGGAAACAGCTTACTGTCTAATCTATCACCTTGGAACTGTAATGGGGTAGGTACAAAGCTGTTATGATTTTCAGGTGCCGCTGGTGAAAGTTCAGCTCTGGCTCAGGCCTTGTTGCTAGGGGATTTCCACTCGTTGTGGAATTCTCATTATTTGCGATTGTCCACACTTCAAGTCAAAGATTTACATCTATTGATAAAGAATTCATTAACAAAACCATAAAGCCATATCATGTAAACAAAGATTAGCAGGTGTTTTTTTTGCAGAATTCGTTTTTTGAATATTCTAGTTAATGTTAGTCAAAGTTAAGTGTCGTTGCAGGGGGTTATCTATATTAAAAATTATTTTTAAATGCATGATAAAAGGTTTAGACTCAACATAATTTGTTTGCTGTGCATTCTGGAGATTATTCTGGACTGAACCATGCTCATACTGTTACATATTCGGTTCTAGAAAAGCAGCAAAGCAGCAACAAAGCAAAGCAGAGAATCACTTTCAATGTCACTCTCACTCTCACTCTCACTGTCGTACGCATGCGCATTTGGCATGCACTTCAGTTGCTGCTCAGCTGGCTTGGGCTGCGCTCTCTCTCTGCCGCTCGCTCTCTCTCTCTCTCTTTTCGTTTGGAGTTGCAGCATCAATGCATTGACGTTATACTGACATTGATCATTTAACGGTTGTTCCCGGGCCGAGCGTCATCGGGAACGCATCGCGTCGCGATTTCGTCGTCGCTTCATTTTATTTTAGCTCTTCACCTCACTTGCATCCATATCGAGGAGGGGCGCGTTCGTTATAATTTTTTGGGGCTCTTTTGGTACTTGTATTTTTAGCTGGTCTCTCGGTCAATGCACACTTTCGGCCGAGTTTTTTATGGCTATTGGCCCGATCGATGCCGTGTCATATCGTGTTCGTGTCCGTGTCCGTGCCCGTTGTTGCATTTTTTCGCATGCGGAAACGTTATCCGGCCCTCGCGTCGTATACGCAACGCTGAGTCGCAATTGCATTTCTCCGCCTAGTTGCACGTATCGAGTGAGCCGCGCCGCGCCTCGCCTCGCTTCGTGTCCTTCGGTATGTGCATTTTTTGCCGCTGTCTCTCGCTGTCAGTCGATCGAGCTAACGGTTTTGGCACGTCGCGCTATTTTGAGGCAAGCCGAGAATATTCGCACAAACTTGTGGCTGGAGGAATGTGGTCGAATACTTTGGCATTTGGCTTAAGTATGCATTTCATTAGTTTTATGTTGTTGTATTGAATGGTACACATACGAGTATGTATATCTCCCCCAGCAGAGCACGGCACAGCACAGCACAGCACAGCTCAGCTCATTCATAAATACAATTTCACAACCTGATTTAAGAAATCGACAGAGAAACGCCACCGGCACTTGCGCACCACATGTCAACGATCTCGAAGCAGCCTACATGCTTTGGGCATACCTGGACACACACCGTTGCCGTTGCCCAGAGAGCCGAAATTGAAGAAAAAAAGAATTCCCAAACTGGTTCTCGTTCTAATACTCGTAGAGATAGCCATCGCCGGTGCCAAATCTTACTCCGATATTCGTGCAGTCTAGACGAGCATTGGTTTTGGTCCTGCCTTGGCAACAAGCAAAGGAAGGAAAGGGAATGTCGCTTCGTATTCCGAGAAGGTGAAGGAAGGCAGAAGAGGTTCAGCACAAGGGTTGGGGTTGGGGACTGGGGACCTGAAAGGGACATGATCAGAGCAGGAGCGTGTGAGCTAGTGTTTTTGTTTTGATGCTGATGGCCTGTTCTTTGAACTGAGGGCGAAAGTGGTGCGCCACGTCATCTTCAGTGTCGTGTCTGACTTTGCCGCCGGCTTTGCCTTCGTCGTCGCAGAGATTGTCGTTCACCTTTTGCAATCTTCCTTTTCTTTACCTTGGTGTGGCATGCCGCAGAAAGGGTTTTTTCGTTGCACACACGAGTTCAAAAAACTTTGGCATTTCCTTAGGAACGATCGTGTTTCAAATTAGAAAACCTTCCCCAGGTATCACAGCCTCTGGTGGGGGCTCTTAAATACTCTTTCGCAATCAAAGCCACAAATATGTTCACCTGGAGATGACTGTGGGGTAGTCACTCTGAGTCATGAGAAATACTACGATTTCATTGAGTCATGCCTAATGGCCAAATTATTAGCATAGCAACATAAATCAAAAGACAGCCACCCAGCAGCACCACTAGTGACGTTTCTCATTTGAAAGCGAAACGGATGTTTGCGCTGCCACATTTTAACGCCAGATGGCGACAGCATCCTCGCAGCGCCATCTGCTTGGGCTGCAGCTGTAAGCAAAATCAGCTGTTTACATCACAATATTCTTTGTACAAAATGTTAGCCGTAAGAAAAACACGAGTTTTCGGTAACCTGAGCTGGTCCCGTTGGAGTAGCGATGCAGCCAAAGCCACCACAGATCCCGCCTCAGCGCTGGAAGATGCAAATAAGCGCCAGAAGCTCATCAACGAGCTGGCGGAGCCACTGGAGCAAAGACGCCGGCCCGCCATCGATCCGAAGGAGACGAGTGTAATGCTGTTCCCTGGCCAGGGAAGCCAGTATGTGGGCATGGCCAAGGATCTGTTGCGGTTTCCGGGAGCACGTCAAATATTCGAACTGGCCAACCAAGTGCTGAAGTACGATCTGCTGAAGATCTGCCTGGAGGGACCACGTGAGAAGCTGAATCGAACGGAGCACGCACAGCTGGCTGTGATGGTGTCTTCGCTGGCAGCGCTGGAGCAGCTACGCGAGGAGCGACCCCAGGCCATTGAAAACTGCGTGGCAGCCGCTGGCTTCAGTCTGGGCGAGATCACAGCCCTGGTCTACGCCGGAGCGATGCCCTTTGATAAGGCCGTGAAGCTCGTGCAAGTGCGAGCCACAGCCATGCAGGCAGCCTGCGATCGGGCAGCGGGAGGCATGGCTTTGACACTGTACGGACCGGACACGAATCTGGGCGAAGCCTGCGCCAAGGCACAACAATGGAGCCTCGACCGGGGAGTGGAGTCGCCCTACTGCGGCATAGCCAACTACATGTACCCGCACTGTAAGGTCATCGCCGGCAATGTGGAGGCTCTGGAGTTCCTCGAGAAGAATGCCAAGGCCCTGAAGATTCGTCGCATGAAACGTCTGGCCGTCAGCGGTGCCTTCCACACTCCTCTCATGCAGAGCGCCGTCGAGCCGTTCACCAAAGCCCTGAAGTCCCTGCGCCTGGAGGACCCGATCATTCGAGTATACTCGAATGTGGATGGCAAGCCATACCGTAATGCCAAGAATATTCTACACCACTTGCCGAAACAAATCGTGCGGTCCGTAAAGTGGGAGCAGACCCTGCACGAAATGTACGAGCGGAAGCAGGGTGCGGAGTTCCCGCGCACCTTCGAGTGTGGTCCGGGCAAGGGCCTGATGCAGGTGCTCGAGAAAGTGAACGCAAAGGCCGCACAGTCCTGCACTAATGTGTCAGCATAAATACGATTCGAATGTTTTGTTTTTACAAAAATGTATTTTCTTTGCTGGCGGAAAACAAAAAAAATAATATTTTTAAACAGATCCTAACTTTTGTCATCTCTGGTGCGCATCCGATGGGCAAATGCAGCACCTTTGTTCTTGCGGAAGCTCTCGAAGGGATCGTTTAGATTGTTGCCAACACCCTGGTGGAAAGAGAGAATCATTGATTGGTTAGTCGGCATGGCCAAGTGAGCGATTCCCGTACCTTGTACATGTCGCGACGATCGCGCACTTCGCCGCCCGAGATGGGCGCATCTATACCCTGATTCTTTGAGCCCAAGCCAGTGCCTGTGCCCGCCCAACCCATTTTCATCAGCATTTGATGGCCTTTGTTTGTCTCCTCAATGAACTCCTGCGGCTTGGGAAAGTTGCTGCCCCTAAAACACAAAGAAAATGCAACTTTAAATAAGGAATCACAATTATGGATGTGGAATCAATCATCTTACATAAAGCTTGGCGGTGTTGGGGATCTGTCTCGTTCCACACGACGAGAGTTGTTGTTGTTGCTATTGTTGCTGTTGGAATTGTTGCGTTCCGCACGATTCTCCCGATTGCTGCCGCTGCTATTACTGTTGCTGTTGTTGTCACGTTCATGACGCGGCGAACGGTTGCGACCTTTCCGACTGCTGCCGCCTTGCGATCCACGATTGCGATGCGGTGGCGGCGTTAACGTACGCTCCACCGAACGAGATCTTGAACGCGAGCGGGTCCTTTCACGACGCGGAGGTGTATGCACTGGGGAGCGACTGCGACTCTGGGATCTAGATAATGAATGCAGGATCGTGTTTTATGATGACTTCAAACAGGAGAGATAATTCTGTGTATAACCAACCGATAGCAACGCTTATTGCCTTTCTTGGGCTGGGGCTTCTCGAGCACAATGGGACTGGGGGAGCGTGACTTCTCTCGTATTCCTTCCTTGATGTCCTCTTCCTTCTTCTTCCGCGCACCATTCTTCACCTTGTAGTACTCGTACAGGCCCAGCTTCTCCCAACCCTCACTGTAAGATGGAAAACATAATGAAACGCATGTCGAAGAGTCGTGTTTGAAGCACTTACTTATCCCTTGGACGGTCGTGGGAGGGCGCCGCATAGAAAGCATTCAATGCATTCGTCAGGCGCTCGCTTAGCGGCGTTGGTGCTGGCACCCGTATATCCGCCGGATCCAGGGACTTGTAGTTGTAGTCCTCCAGCCGTATGAGCGGAACCATTAGAGCGGCGGGCAAGTCGTAATAAGGCGCTGTGGGTATCTGTGGCTCGGCCAAGACGGCAGCATCTGCCGATTCACCATCACCTTGTTGATGCAGCTGCTGGCCATCCTCCGCATGGTGTTTTTGGTCCGCATGAATGTCATCCGGGTGTTGTGTGATAACCGCTCTAATGGCTGCATTAAGCGCATCCAGATCCACTGCATTTGGATCGACATTTCCTGGGGCTTGGCGCAAACTTTGTGGATATCCTGTGAGTTGTTGCTGCTGCTGCTGCTGAAGCTGTGGGATTTGATTCTGAAGCTGTGGTGGTAGTTGCTGCTGAAGTTGTTGTGGATTTTGCTGCGGCTCGTCGGGATGTCGTTGCTGTTGATGCTGCAGCTGCATCACAGCCTGAATGGCTGCATTCAGCACGCCCAGATCAACGGGAGGCTCATTATTAACCCCCTGTCCAGGAATTTGTCCAGGCATTTGTCCATACTGCTGTTGTTGCAGCGACGCTGCCACCTGTCCATGCAGGTGCATTGGTCCTGGTCCCGCAAAGCCTGGCGGTGGCTTCGACATGTCCGGAATGAAAAAGTTTGGTCCGCGCGGATCACCGAAGTGGTTGCCCGACTGCTGTGGCGGCGGTTGTTGCTGCTGCTGCTGCTGTTGCTGGTGGAAATTTGCTCCTGCATAAATGTTGTTCCCAGCCTGGGGATGTGGCGCCTCATTAGGTGGTGGCGTATTCATGTGCTCATGCTCTCCGGGCATGATCAAACGATGGGACATTAACGATGGTATGTTCTTCTGTGGCGTTACCGGTACCTGCTGCTGCAGAAGCTGATGTTGTTGCTGCTGCTGTTGCTGTTGTGCCTTTTGTGCTGCCATCAATTGTTGTTCGAGTTGTTGCCTTTGTGACTCAAATTGTGCAATTTGCTGGCTGGCATGCTGGATAAATATCTGATGTTGTTTTTGGTAGCTAGGAAACAAACATTGAAAGGTTTCAAAACAACATTTAGTCTCCCAATTTTAGTCTCTACTCACTTGTCCAGTGTGGCCTTGGTGTTTTGTGTGAACTTGGCTGCTATATCGTGATGAGAATTCTGCAGATTCGTTTTGTACTCCTGCATGGATGAGTCCGGTGATTGCAGCTTTGAGATGACGCAGGCATCGAAGAACTTGGCCTTGGACTCCCACAGGGACAGCAGCTTGGCGAGCTTTTGGCGCTGATCCATGCTGGCAACTGTGGGGCGGAAATTCAATAGTTAAAATCAAAATAAAAAACGAATGATAACGTTGGTATACATACTCAGATCTGCGCTGCAGAACATCGGTATGACGACGTTCTCCAGGCTGTTCTTCAAGTCGTTGATGTTTTTGCGCATGCTGTAAATATATCGTGACGCTTAAACAACAAATCTCCGGGCTACGCTGGACACACACACATGTTTCAGGTCTACGGTTAAGTGGTTGTCGCGTCGGTGTCTCTGTCGTCTATCCCCATACCGTCCGATCCCCGTCCCGTCTGCTGTGTAAGCCAAGTAACGTAGCTGAATCGTGGCTCTGTTGCTTGGCTCTCACAGTTGTGTGCTTAACATACGTTTAAGGTTGATTGGGCGAACTTACCAATGGTGGAGTATATCATTAACTAAATATATAAGATGCAATTTTTGCTGAAACGTTGAACCATTGACCAAAGCCCTAAAAATAAATTAACAAACGAAAAACATATTTTTTCTAGTTTTCTGTATGCACAACAACATTTTCCAAAATGATTTTGTTGTGCATGTATTGTGAATATTGTGTTAGTTGTTGTTCTCTGCTCTTCTTTCACTTGTTTTCTTTTTCTTTCTGCATTTGTTTTCACTTGTTTAACTGATGATGTGTGGGTGTGTGTGTTAAAGTTAAGCTTTCTTAAACTAAATGATTTATGGGGAGTTTGCTTTTGGGTTTTCTGTGTGCGTGTGATGTGTGTGTTTTGGCCTAACTATGGTCTAGAATTCCATGTCAGATATCATAACTATCATCGAATCATAATCATAATCAACGAATCGAATAATCTCGAGGCTCTCTGGGGGAGTCGCTCAATCGAATCGATCATCTCTCTCTCGCTTGCGTATCGACATTTTGTGTCTGTTTTGTCTCTCTCTCTCGTTAATATTTTCACTCGTTGAAAGAAAGAAACACAATTTCATTAATACATGTGGAGGATCATTAATTATATAAACTGAGGCATACTTCTTTAAAAGATATTGTAAAACGACATTGATTTTTGCGCTGTCGGTTGAATGCTGTAAAATCCAGTTCTTGCCTAAAATTGCAATATCAAACAGGTTACTCATATTGTCATTGTCACTGTGCATTTATATAATTTATAAAAAATATGTATAGTGGAAGTTAATCAATTAATTAATTTTTTTTGTATGAATTCATTAAGTTTGTGTGTGTTTGTATGTTTGTGTGTGCGTATGGACCATACATTTCGCTAGCTTATAAACTACGAAAGAATATCAATAATCGAGAATCTAATCGCATGCGGGCCGTGCTGCCGGAGCCGCCTGGGCCACCGCACCATTCATATTTACCTGCTGAGATGCTGTCCTTGGTGCAGGCATCTATGATCGGCTGCAGCACTCCATCGAAATCGCGCAGCACAATCCCCTGCTCGCCCGCCAGCTGCTCCAGTTGGGCCGTCTGCGCCGCCGCAATCGCCTCCTCGATCAGCTTCGTTTTTTGCGACATCAGCGCCTATGGGGTTTCATTTGGTTGGTTCGGATTCGTAGGTTTGGTTTCGTATCAGTTTGGGCATTATTTTTTCAAGTTTTTTGTTTTGTTTTGGGCACACAAAGATATATTTTTGCGGTTCGACAAGTAAACGATAGATTCGTTTTAAACAAATTTGATTTTTTGGGTGTTTTTTATACATTGTTTTTTTTTGTCAGTTGGTATGAAGAGTATTTTTTTTTTTTTTTGGTTTATGTTTTCAAAAAATATACAATAAAGCAAAAATTAATGTAGCATTGTAGATTGTAAGTTGTTAATTCAATAGTTAAAACAAAATGAAAACAATATGGAGAATGTATTTGAGTAAAGCTGAAAGAAGACTGGAACGCATCCACACTTGCAGAATAAATACAGAGAGAGGAGAGATCGATAGAGACCGAAAAAGTGAAGGCATAAGGAAGCAAGGAGCCCCAAAAGTAGCTGATATTCGCCAGAAAACGAAGGAAGGATGTTACGGTTGGTATAGCCAGAAACTTCAAACAGCTTCAAATTATGAAGCGAATTTACGGGCTTAATAACTAACTTTGGAAACTTTATAAAAGAGCCCCATCGTAAAAATCGTGCCATACACGTATGTTGTAAATAAATATTGAGAGATCTTAGCTCTAAGGAGCGAATACATCCGTTTAAGTTGAGGATCCATATCAAGAAGCGACTCAGACTTTGACATGTGAAAAATTGATTCATTGACAGAAGGGAAGCAGTGCAGCCCTTGCGTACACGCTCTGCAATGTTGCATGCTTGCAACAATATATATATATATATATAGATAGATAGATATGTACATCTGGTCCACTACCAGATGTCTATATCGAGTTTAATTTACCGTATGCTGTGCAGAGAGATTCGCTTCGGATTGCTTGATTTGCTCCCGCAGTGTGTTTTGCTGCATCTTGATAGCTTCCAGTTGGTTCGTCAGCGTCAGCGTAAGTGGCGGGCCGTTGGCTGGCTGATTGTTGGGCGGCGCCCCGGACCCGCCATTGTTTGGCGGCCATAAATGCGGTGATTGTTGCTGTTGCATCTTGTCTTGTGCGTTGTCATGCAAATTGTTTTGGGCGGGCGGGTGCTGTTGCTGGTTATTTGGTGGTGCGTAGTGAGAGGGTGGTTGTGCCTGCTGCATCGGCGGCGGATGTTGTAGGAAGTGTCCAGACCCTGGGCCCCCTGGCAGTTGTAATGGAACGCCTTGTTGCTTCAGCACTAGATTGAAAAAACGGCAATCGTTTTTTGAGAACTTAAACTACATAAGGGGCTGTGCCTACTCACATGTTTGCTCGGCTGCCACCCGAAATTGATAATAGTTGGCGAATTCGCCGCCGTACAGGAACTCGAACTTTGGATTGTTTTGCTGCTTTTGTTTGGTGATTGCTTCGAACTCGGGCCCATTGCGCGCCACGAACTCAGCCAATTTATCTATTATATTGCGTAAATTCGCATCTGAAAGAAGGAAATTTTTACATCAAATTTGGGCCCATATATTACTACACGCTCGTGTGTGTGAGTGTGATAGAACTCTTCTGACTGGGCGCCGTGCAGGCCATCGGCAACACTTTTCTGTCCAGTATTTACCTCTTGGCGGCTGTACATCCATCCTGTCGCAGTTTTTGTTATCAAACTCTCGCGAAAATTACTAAGTTCATTACTTTTTGCGTTTTCTCAGCGGAGCGGCACTTTTTTCCCAGATCTTCTTCTTCTGGTTTTGTTGAAATTTGCGACGCCATGTTTACAATCGATGATTGGCCATCGATACTATCGCTGGTGTTGCAAACAAAAGAACAAAAAAATAACTATTGACTGAAGAGCATGAAGCAACTATATTTATTTTTGCAGAAGAGCGACATGTCAAAACAATCTTATAAACGTGGTATCCCTCATAATTCGTGGCAGTAATCTACGCGGCAAGCAGACAACTCGACTCTGTGATACAGACACAATCTTGGAGTGAGACAAGAATGGGTGACGGACAAGCCGGAAGCGTTATCAACATCAACGGGAGTGCGGGTGGGCAGCTGCCAGCGACAGCGAATTCTCCGACCTTGACGCGAAAGTCTTCTGTAGCGGAACTGCCGCCGGAACTGCGGATCCTGTGCTTTGACCTGACACACTACAACCGGACAACGCAGTTTCTGCTGAGCTGTGCAGGCGTCTTCATACTCTACATACTTTATGGCTATCTGCAGGAGCTCATATTCACAGTGGAGGGATTCAAGCCGTACGGCTGGTTCCTCACGCTCGTCCAGTTCGGATACTACATTGGCTTCGGCTTGGTGGAACGCCGCCTGGAGGCCTACAGGACGGGGAGGCGTTCATTGTGGAACGTTGAGCCAGCGCCACGTTGCATTCCAATGAAAACATACCTGGTTCTGGCTGCTCTGACTTTGGGCACCATGGGCCTGTCCAACTCCAGCCTGGGCTACCTCAATTATCCCACCCAAGTGATTTTCAAGTGCTGCAAGCTGATTCCAGTGCTTGTGGGCAGCATCCTCATACAGGGCAAGCGATATGGACCTCTGGACTTCGCGGCTGCCATCTGCATGTGTATCGGTCTGGCCTGGTTCACTCTGGCCGACTCCCAGATGACACCCAACTTTAATCTCCTGGGCGTGGCCATGATTTCGGGTGCCCTGCTGTGTGATGCGGCCATCGGCAATGTCCAGGAGAAGGCCATGAGGGAGCACAAGGCGCCCAGCAGCGAAGTGGTCTTCTATTCTTATGGATTGGGTTTCGTATATCTCTTTGTGGTCATGCTGATTACTGGCAACTTTTTCAGTGGATTCGCTTTCTGCTTAGAGGTCAGTATAAGCCATTCTCGCGATTATATCAATTCTAACAAGCTCTACGCTTCAGCATCCCCTGCAAACCTTCGGTTATGGGTTCCTATTCAGTCTCTCCGGCTATTTGGGCATACAATTCGTGTTGGCGCTGGTGAGAAGCAGCGGTGCCCCCATAGCTGCGACAGTGACAACCGCTCGCAAGGCTGTGACCATTGCCTTTTCCTTTATGCTCTTTAGCAAACCCTTCACAGTGCAGTGAGTAGAATGGAACAGCCGGTGGTTTCTTCCTACTAACCACACGTATTGCTTCTTTCAGATATCTTTGGTCTGGCCTGGTAGTTGTGGTCGGCATCTATCTCAACGTATACAGCAAAAAGAAAAAACTGACGTTTGCAGACATCCGCTCTAGATTCAAGCAATTCGGCTCCAGGCTGCCTCGTTCGCCAAGTCGCAAATTCCTCATCGAAGTATAATTAGAATACCAAAAATAAGCACGAATTTTGAGTCAAATCGGAACAACCGCCTTCTACACGAAAGCTATGTACTACAATTACTTAATTATATACTATACAAATCAGTTTCGAGTGTCAATTTCTATCTATCCATATCCAACTCCATTACGCGCTTGAAAAGATCCTGCCGTTCCTTGGCGGACTCCACTTGACCCATGAAGCGATCCAAGAACTGCTTCTGATGTTTAATGATGAACTTGTTGCACTGTATAATTGTGGCGCCAATGTACAGCGTGCGGAACTTGGCTCGCAAGTCGCCTATCTGAAACTCCAAGGTGTTGGTGCATGTTTCAAATAATTGGATATTTCACTTACCAGAGTAATCAGCGGTAACATGCTCGACACGAAACGTTGGCCACGATGCACACAGCGTATAACGGCTATTTTGGTGCGTTCATTGCAATATTTAACACGAAATCCTTGCTCTACAACGCCGAGTCCGTAGACTCCATAGTGCTTCTCCACGTTTTGCAGAATGCACTTGGCCAGGATGTGATCCTTCAAATGCAGCGTCTGTTTGGTTGCATAGGGAACAATTTGCACCGCTATGTACCTAGTGGGGGAGAACCGTATTATTTAGCACATTTATTTCTAAAATGGCACTTTATTTACCTATTTTTGATTCGCACCATGTTGCAGCGCAGTGATCGGGGAGCTATCGATACCGAAATATACATTCACATTTTCAAAATACACAGTAAAAATACCGACGAAAATCATTTTCAACGATTTTGATATTCGATTTAATATAAGATGGTTAGATCTTTTAGAACAGAAACTTTAGTTTTATGCTATTGACGAATCAATTATCCACAAGATTGGCGGTGCTCAGGACTTTATTTTATTCGATTGTTTACAAATTAGGATGGAAACCAAACAGGTCACCAAAAAACCAGAACTAAATCGCAAATGAGCGCTGCCAGACGGACAAAAAACCCAGAAAAAAATATATCGGTGTGTTTACGTCAAACGGTTTTTTCTTATCTTTACGACTCTCAAGAGATTGGCTAACAATGGCATTATGCGCAATCTATCTGTTTTGATTATTAACAGAATGCAATCCACGAAAGTCAGCTGTTTTTAAATATGATGTACCAATACTTTATCAGTTATGAGCTGCTTTCTAGTCAATAACCTACATGACTGCCACATGGCATATTCCCACGGTAATCTCTAATTTGTTTGAAATTTTGTGAAAATTGGTTGGTAATGCTCGTTTTAAAGAGAGCTGCCAGACTGCTGGAAACCGATATCTATCGACCTGCGATCTTCAGAGCGAGAGAGAAGGTGCAGTTATATTTAAATAAATGAATGAGAACCAGAGCCGCTGTTCGGTATTGTTGATTGTTAAAGAGCGATCTGTAGGTACGACGCACACAACTTGGCTAATTTGAATGTGTTGATAAACACACACACCAACGCGGAAGAAACACAAACAAAATTCTAAATCACTTTAAAAGTGCCCGTTTTTGGAGTTCAATCAACCAGGTGTGCTGTTTTAAATCAAAACTCCGTCTTTCAAGTGCTAATCAAATTGAGACATTTTCCTAAAAATGTTTTGCCAAATGGGCTGTAAGGGTGGCAAAGTTTTCCAGCTGTTAAGCCTCGTCCCACACAGTGCAAGATCTTGGCAAACCGGTACACGGCCCAAGACGCTTCTCCATATAAACATATATACAGACAACTTCGTACATACACAAGTTTAAACGATTTTGTTGCTTCCAGTGTGCGCATATCAAATTTGTTATCAGTACGCGGTCGACTGTCGTCGGGTTTGGTTTTGTGCAATCCATTAATATAACATTTATTTGACCGCAAAGGTAATTGGAAGCAGCTGGATAGGAAGCCGCAAAATGTCCCAGCAGTCGTCGTACTTTGTGGGTGTGGACGTGGGTACGGGCAGTGCAAGGGCGGCCCTGGTGGCAGCAGACGGCCGAGTGGTGGAACAGGCGGTGCAGGAGATCAAGACTTGGACGCCGGAGCCCCATTACTACGAGCAGTCGACCGAAGACATTTGGTCTGCAATCTGTAAGGTTGTCAAGGTAATAAAGGCGTCTCGCTTGATAACCCCTGGGCGGAGATTAGATTAATAACCGCCCCACCAACCCCCTGACTTTACAGCATGTCATTGCCGGCGTCAATAAGTCACAAGTCAAGGGCATTGGCTTCGACGCCACCTGCTCCTTGGTCGTCCTCGGCCTGAACGGCGTGCCGCTGACAGTCAGCAAGTCCGGTGAGGTGCAGCAAAATGTTATCCTCTGGATGGACCATCGCGCTGACAAGGAGACGGCCGAGATTAACGCCAAGAAGCATCCCCTGCTGCAGTACGTGGGCGGTCAGGTCTCCCTCGAGATGGAGGTGCCGAAGCTGCTGTGGCTGAAGCGGAATCTGTCCAAAACTTATGGCAGCATCTGGCGAGTCTTTGATCTGCCCGATTTCCTCACCTGGCGTGCCACCGGCGTGGACACCCGCTCCCTCTGCTCGGTGGTCTGCAAGTGGAACTACGACGCGGCGGCCAACAGCTGGAACGAGGAGTTCCTCTGTGGCGCGGGACTGCAGGAGTTGACTTTGAACAACTTCCAGAAACTCGGCAGCGATGTGCAGCCGCCTGGCAAGCGCGTAGGCAAAGGTCTCTCCGTGAGCGCTGCCGAGGATCTGGGCTTGTCTGTGGGCACAGTGGTCAGCACTTCGCTGATCGATGCTCATGCCGGAGCTCTGGGTATGTTCGGCTGCCGCGCTGATTGCTCTGCAGATGATGCCGACGATGTGCAGGGGAAAATGGCGCTGATAGCTGGCACCTCCACCTGCCACATGAGCATCACGCGTGAGGCCTGCTTTGCCAAGGGCATCTGGGGACCCTACCAGGATGCCATTATACCCGGCTACTTCCTCAACGAAGGCGGTCAGAGCATTGCCGGCCATCTTCTGGATCATGTGCTGAAGACCCACGAATCCTATGGCGAGCTCAAGCAAAAGCTGGGGGCTGATAAGTATGAGGATGAGCATCAATGAAAAGTATACAATTTAAGGCTATAATCTCTTTCAGAAATATTTACCAGCATCTGAATCAGCTGCTGCCTGAGCTGGCTGCTGCCCGCGGCCTGAGCGATGTGTGTTGCCTCACCCAGGATGTGCACGTCTGGCCGGATCTGCACGGCAATCGCTCGCCCGTTTCCGATCCCACACTGCGTGGCATAGTAGGTGCACCTAGAAATTTGAGTTTATTCTGCTGCTAACCCATCCAAATACCAAATGTTTCCCCTCAGATCACTGGCCTGGATATGACGCGCGGAATTGAATCTCTGGCCATTAAATACCTGTCCTACACTCAAGCCCTGGCTGTAAGCGCGAACTGTGTTGAGATCCAACCTGAATCTATTCTAATACTTCGCTGTTTTCAGTACGGAACGCGTCACATTATCGAAAACTTGTATCAGCACCAGCGGGCACCGTTCCAGACTCTGCTGTTCTGTGGCGGTCTGGCCAAGAATCCGCTGTATGTGCAATGCCATGCTGACATCTGCAACTTGCCCGCACTGATACCGGATGAACAGGAAATGGTGCTGGTCGGTGCTGCTGCCCTGGGAGCTGCAGCCGCTGGTCACTTTGATAGTCTCGAGGTGAGTGGCACAATCTACCGCCTGTATCTACGAACTCTAAGCATATGCCTCCCTATAGAGCGCCTCGAAAGCCATGGGTGGCACTGGACAGCTGTTGGAGCCTAATCGCCACACCGTGGAGTTTCACAATCGCAAGTACAAAGTGTTCCTACAGCTGCTGGAGCATCAGCGGCAGTACCGGAGCATTATGAACGGAGGGGAGGCTGCTGTTTAAAATGTGTCAACACTATAATAATTTGTAATTATATGCTGTACATTGCATAGGTACACGTGATTTCTTTCGGCTCTATCGGGGTTTAAGCAATGAAGGCAGCCGACCTGGAGACGATTTTTCCCCGACACACGGGGCACTGGGTGGCAATGTGCGGAGAGCAATCCTCGCACAGGCACACATGGCCGCAGGGCAGTAAAATGATCTGAAAGGCATTGCCAACATGTTATCCGGTTAGAAAATCTCTGCATTGGCATCCACTCACCTCTTTGGGGTTGGTTACACAGACGACGCAGAGCTGATCCTCGGATAGTGTCAGCGGACGACTGCGTGCACGGCGTTCACGTCGCTCTGCTTCCAGGCGTTTGTGTATTCTAGCCTCCTCCTGCTGCTGCTTTCTCTTGCGGTATAACTTTTTAACTATGAGGCCGATCAGAATGGCTGACACGGCGCCACAAAAGGTAATCTTCAAGCTGTAAAGAGTTTCATTTATAGACGCTATTCGTAAGAGGGGTGTGTCCTTACATCGATGTCCATTTGGCATCCTCAAATCGCTGTACAATCGCGGATTTTGTGGCGGTGGTCAAAAAGAGTCCTCCCTCCTGTGACGGCTGCATGCGCAATGTGTTGCCGTCCACCTCCAGCTTGCCGATGGCTGTCAGAAAGCTGCCCTCGCGCAGAACTTCCTCCGTGGTCTGCAGGCCCTTCTGTCGCACGCCAGTGAAGAAGCCAAAGATGTGGTCAAAGGCTGACAGTGATGAGGGCTCGTAGCTGTCGTAGACAACGTCCACATCCAGCACAGATGCGTTCAGTGCGTCCACAATCTCCACACCATGCTGCTGATTGCGCAACTCGAAGGGCATCTCATTGGCAGACGTGTGCAGCAGCCTGCGCTGCTCCATCCAGAAGCCGGCAAAGCCTCGGGCCACCCGGTGCTCGTGCAGCTTCACGATCTGCAGGACACCGCTAACACTGGGCACCAGCGTGCTGCGCAGGGGCACGCCCATGGGCGTAACAGTGCCTCGGATCACCGCATATGGTATGCTTTTGTCCACTTTCCGTTCCACAATGGATCTCAGATTCCCGTCGATATTGTATTGCGGCGCACTCTACGATTAACCAATGGGTAAACATGTGCTTCTGATGATGCAATTGTGCCCTTACCTTTAACAGTCGTGTAACCTTCTTGTTGTGCATATATTCTCGCACGCATAGGCCTAAAATAACCAGATCC